AGGACAGAGTGGACAGGGACATGAGTGAAATTTCTCAGTTTATACCTTTTTAAGTTATTTTGAATTTTAAAAAATGTTAAATTTTTAAATAATTACAGATTCACAAGACATTGCAAAAAGAGTACAAAGGGATCCGGCTTAACCCGGTTTCCCCCAATGGTGACATCTTGCTTAACTATAGTACAATATCACAACCAGGAAACGGACGATCTACAGATTTACACGCACTCATGTCTGTGCGTGTGTGTGGTTCTATGCCATTTTGTCACGTGTGTAAATTCGAGTGACCACCACCACCATCACCTACAGAACGGTTCCATCATCAGCCGTCCCTAGTGCTCCCCCTTTCCAGTCACACCCATTCCCCTCCCCCATCCCCCGACAGCCACAGATCTGTTCCCCATCTCTATAATTCTGTCATTTTGAGACTGTTATGTAAACGGAATCATACAGTATGTAACCTTTTGAAATTGCCTTTTTTTCCCACTCATCATAATTCCCTTGAGATCCATCCAAGTTGTTGCATGTATCAACAGGTCATTCCTTTCTGCTGCTGAGTAGAGGGTTCCCCGGTATGGATATACCTGACTCGTTCACCATTCACCCATTGAAGGACATCTGGGTTGTTTCCAATACTTGGCTCTTACAAATAAAGCTGCTGTGAACGTTCCTGTACACGTTTTTGTGTAGATCCAAGTTTTCATTTTTTTTAGGATAAATGCTCAGGAGTACAGTTGCAGGGTCACATCGTGTTTATGTTTAGTTTTTTAAGAAACTTCCGGAATGGCACTTTAATTTTTTAAACATATGACTATTAAAAAACAAAACACTGAGGAGTTAATGTTGAATCTGACCATGTCCTTAAAATCAGGTCAGCATGGGGGCCGGCCTGTGGCCGAGTGGTCAAGTTCGTGTGCTCTGCTTCCGTGGTCTAGGGTTTCGCTGGTTCGAATCCTGGGTGCGGACATGGCACCGCTCATTTGGCCATGCTGAGGCGGCGTCCCACATGCCACAACTAGAAGGACCCACAACTCAAAAATATACAACTATGTGCTGGGGGGATTTGGGGAGAAAGGAAAAAAAATCAGGTCAGCATGGTACTTCTCTAGTCTGACCTACAGTTTTCCTGGATGAGTGATGTCAGTGTTAAATCGCAAATCTCTCTCCTCCTAGGTGTGGTACAGATAGTGGAGGTGATGTTGAATGGGATGGTTCTCATGTGTATCGTGGCCTCCTACTTTGTCCTTGCTGGATTCAGTGCCAGCTTTACCACCGCCGGCGGCTTTGGGAACAACTATTACTCACCATTTGAGGGCACCGAGCTGGAGCAGGTTCGACAGCTGGACCAGCAGTACACGGTCCTCCGGGCACCTCTGATATATGGCGGTGTGACTGTTTCTCTGGGGCTGGGTGTCCTCACCATGGGTGTTCTACTCCGAGGAGCCAAGAATCTAACCAAACTGCCAGGGAAGTGGCTCCTTCTGGAGGCTGCCTTCAGTCTCCTAGCAGCAGTGGGCTACTGCATAGGCATTGGCATTTACCTCCACGTTGCCTTGCGGATCAATTCCACAGACACTTGCAAAACAAGAGAGAGGCTCTATGCCCGCAAGGGTCTCACCTGGATGAATTGCCAGCTGGCAGGCACTGATGGAGCAGCAGCCACCTTTGCTTGTCTTCTGGTGATTATGTATGGTGTTAGCGTGGTGCTGGCCCTACGGAGCTACCGAGAACAGAAGCGCTACAAAGATAACCGAGAACAGCACAGAAATTACAGTGATGCACCAGAATATCTGTGGTCTGGAACACTCTGAGATCATCTCGGAACCTAAATGTCAACCCACCTCCCTTGTTTCTCTCAAAAAGATGGGTCCTTTAAAATCACACACGAGCCAACTGTGGTTTTCACCTGCTTGACCTTATAAATGCTCCCTTTGGTACAAATGCAAAGCTAGATGATCGTTTCATTTGTCTGTGAATAAGTCTTTATTGGCTGTGAACTTGAAAAAATATCTCCAACTTTGCTACAAAGAGCAACATCAGAAGTTTGGGTACACTCTTATGATGGCTCTCCTACCAAATGGCAAGGTAATAATGTTAATAAACAAGTAGCCAGAGAAATTCTGAGAGATGAGAACTACACATCAGGGGTAGCAGGCCCAGTATGATAGTAGAAATATCTTACCTGTCTTAACTAGTTAAAGTCACCAAAAGAAACTTGCCATTTCCCCTTATATTTGGTCCCAGGGGAATGATTTTAAAGCAGTTGTGTGGCTGAATTCTAAATGAGTAATTACATCTGACCGTCTCCTAGAGGGAAGCTGTTCTGCCCATATGGCAGTGTACTGTGACCACCTGGGTCCGCAGGAGCCTTCTCCCATTAGAGACGGGAGGCTGGATGTCTGAGAGGGGAAGAGAGATGCTTTTAGCATGCACATCCATTCTCAGGATTCCTGCATTAGGGCTGAGAGAAAATGGTTTTTGCCAGCATTCCAAGTTAGTTTCTTTCTTGTTGCGAGTCATTCAATTGGAATTCACTTAATTTTCTTAAATATGAGGCTTCCAAATAGTGAGAAATAAAATTCATAAACTTCTTAAACATGCTCAACTGATTTCAAAGACAAAGCAGTTCATTTTACTAGACTCTAAAGGCTTACAGAGGCGTCTTCCTCTCTGCATTCCCTGACAGCGCCCAGTGAGGAGGCTTCCAAAGGAAGACTGTCATCTCTCAGGACCCTGAATTGTCTTCATAACATAACAGCTCATTAACACGGAGTCTTAAAAACAAAATTCTTTCAATAATTTTAACCTAAAGTTTTACAGCTATTCCTATACTTTACAACTAGTCACAGATTTTCAGTTCGTGTCAAATGAAACTAGAAATATACACGTTCTTATTATATAGGTTTTTTTCTAATTGTCCTCTTGCTTTTCAATAGCTTTTTTCCATAATATCATTGTTTTATCTTCATATTATAAATGAGATTAAACTAATAAATTCAAACCAAATTTTTAGTACATTTCTAAAAAGAATCTGATTTCCACAATGCAATTTTGACGTAAATCTGATTCTCTATACAGTTAGTAAGAAATCAGCAAACAAAAGCCCGTTTCAACACATACCAAGATGACTGTTAAAAAAATTTCACTTGTCATTTTCCTCTAACGTGTTGGCCATTTTCGCTGACTCTTCTCTCCCCCAGCCCACCTCCAAATCCCCTCCTCCCTGCAATATATTACCTTTCCTCTCTCCTCTCAAATCCTTCCGATAGCTAATTCTTATTGAACCTATCCAAAGGATCAAAACAAAACCTCATACAGAAATAGGAAACTAATTACACTTTTACAAAAAGTAAAGCTTGGAGGAAAATAATCAACTGCAAATATACATTGCTAGGTTAAAACACAAACACTTGTGACACAGGTGCGTGCACTCTATCACTCTTAGCCTTGAGGCAGTGGCTAGGTCCTACAGAGTTTTCACCGAGGGTAGAGACAAAGTTTAACAGCAGCAAAAATCAACCTATTCCCCACCTTCCCCCTCAAAAGAATACCCACACCCACTATTCTCATCTAGCATTTATTCCCTGAAACATGCCCCTATTAGATCTTTGCCCATGTCTGGGTCTTGTGCTTGATAAAATGGGGACTTTGGCCTATCTGACCCCGATAATGTGCCCAGGCCCAGTGCAATACTGCTCCCGAGATCCAGCTCCACACTAGTGATTGGAGCCCAGCCATCAGGGTAATCATAACACTCCATGTTTGTAGTTTCATAACATTCAAGATGCTTTAGCAAACCTTGTCTGATTTACTACCACTTGTCCAGTAGGCAGGTCAAGATGTATTATTTGCATCTTACAGTTGAGGAGACAAAGGTTCAAGAGGGTCAAGTGGCTCACTCAACAGTTGACATTTCATTGACTGCTCACTATGTGCCAAGTCCAGTACTAAGGAAGCATTGTTTGCATCATCTCATTTAAGCTCACAAGTAACTGATGAGAGAGAGAACTATTATTTCTGAGCCAAAAACTGAGCCTTGGAGGGGTTAAGTAACTTGCCTACAATCAAATCTTTTAAGTAGCAGAGGCAAAACTCAGACCCAATGAATTACACACTGGAACGTTCTGAGTGACTAATGTACTCTTGTGGCCATTGGCATACCAGGGAATTAATATTACACAAAGAAGAGACACACTCAGAGAATTTCACTTCTGCCACCCTGGAATAGGGAGCTGTGTGTCTCATGGAACTGAGGTGTTAATGTGGATGGTGTCATTGAGCTCAGCACATGGCAGGTGCTCAATGAAGAGTTGGTGAACCAAGTGTTAAAATGTTCATTCCGCTAGATGAGGAGGAAACCTGTAAAATGATTTCAACTTGACCTTTATTTGGAGAGGTAAAATAAGCTTGCTTGGAAGTCCAGAGACTATGGGAGGCAACCAATGGGTGGAAGAGGGAGGAACCACCAGAGACTTAACTGGATTATAAACATTTTGTGAGCCAAAACTCACCACTATGTTTGAAGTTCTGACTCCAAAGCCATTATGACAAACCTGATGGCCGGATGATCCACTTAGCTCCTTCCTCTGTGTCATCATCAGCTCTCCAACTTATTTGAGGAGCTGTAGGTTGTTTACAATTGAGTTTCCTCTAGTCAGTTAATAACCTGCATGCAAATAAGGACCGTTTCCTGTCGTTGGGATTTCTTTAAACATAAACCAAGTCAGAATATAATGTTTCTCAATGTAAAAAATCTTTATTGCTATTTTGATTTAAAAGGTGATCAAAAATATTTATTCTTGCCTTAACTCATAGCTTCATAGTGTTATAAAATGTGGTTTCATTTTTTATCTTCCTCTAAAGAAAAAGCAGAAAATTCCTAAAGGTGCTTTTGGATAAGAAACTAATTCTACATACAAGTTAGAGAAAATTACAGTTTCATGCTAAAATAAAGTACTTATAAAATAAGAGGTGTTCCATTCTAAAACAAAGCCATGAAAGAGATTTCATTTCATTTTATTTATTATTATTGTTATTATTTTTTACAAACAATAGATTTGCTGCAACATGCTCTGGCTCATATTATTGAATTAAAAAATTTAACACATTTCAAAAATATCAAAAATACACTATAATGAGTCTTAGGACTACAATACGACAATGATTGCACAAAACCATGGATATGAACTCACTGTTTGGATGACATCCATTGGCAACAGTGAGAGAAAACCCTATAGCATCTGGGAGAAGTGCATGGAATTTAGAATACAAGGAGCTTATGTGTGATTGAAGGATCACCAAATGAGGGAAACAGCAGGATTTACTGTAGCTGCTTTTCTCAATCTAGCAAGTGCTTACCCAATTATGGGGCAAAAGTCACTAACTGGAGAGAAAGATTAACTTGCCTCCATGATCGGGGGAGTCTGAAAGGCTCTACCCAGAGGGAAGTAAAAAGTGACACAAGACAGTTCTATAGTGATGCTGCAGACATCACTGAATGGCTTGGAGACTATTTAATAATTGGTACATTTATCAATAACAGCCAAGTGCTCCCTTATGGAGGTCTCTTCATTAATTATTGAGTAGATAGAGAAGGTGAGCCTGTGGCTTCCAAGTACCTGCTTTTGCTGAAGGTCTACATGGAAAGAAGAGCATCATTTGATATTCAGTAGATCAGCCAAACCTAACTGGCTCCATCTCCTGGAAAATAGCACTCGCTACAAACAATTATAATAGCACCCAATGATTACCAAGCTGCTCTTGTTGGCTCTTCTATACACCAGGAAAATGAACTCATCAACTTATTGCACACATAGACTCTACAGTAGTATAATAAAGCCCTCACTTGTATTAGGAGTGGTAATTCAATGACTCTATGGTAGCACTGTAGCTTTATGACATTCCTGCATTCAAATTTTCAAATACATTTCTAATCCATTAGGATACAAATAAGACTCATGTATTTTTCCTTCTTCCCTGGGATTCCCAAACTGCTCCCATAAGCAGGAATGATGTTCTTTCAGAAATTCTCTTCACTTCTCTATTAAATGGGAGGTACACACAGAGACCTGAGAATCCTGCAGAGGCCAGAATCTGTGGGCTAGAGATCATCGGTGCTGTCCTGGGATATTACCTTCACCTGGAGACAGATTACTGGATTTCACCACCTGACAACCTAATCAGATCACACAATGACTGTAAATGACCTCATAGGCCAAAAGAGTTCTCTATGTTATTTTTGGTAATGTGCTATGGCCTTGTTACCTTCTATTTGAACACAGAGCAATTACAGAGGGAAATGAATGAAAGGAAGTTACAAAAAAGAATAACCAGTTTTGGTATAGCCTATATTAAAGGTTTTCAATACAACCTAATGTTTCCTGAAAATAAATCTACCACAAGAACACTTGGAATTTTTAGAGTTCTTCTGACTAAAAAGTAAATACATTTACTTCTGGTAAAGTCATTTCAGAACTGGGTTTTGTGATGGTTCTAATAAGTAGGGTAGGAAACAATGAGAAGACAAGAAAAGGGTTCACAGATAAAGGACAATTTTTAAGTGATTATACTATTAAAGTGGTATATTCTCAAAATAACTTTCTTTTTTAGACAACATCACTATTTTGTAAACTCAAAGGTACTGTGGTCTGGGTAGGAAGATGTTTTACATCACCCATCACAATTATCTTGGGTTCTTCCTTCATTTCCATTTTTTCTATTTTCCCATATAAAAAAATAAGGCAGCAACACACTATTGTGCCCATCTTTCTAACAGCACTGAAACTTTGTATGAGCCACTATGTTCTCCACTTTGACTCAAGACCTGAGTTCTACAATTTTTTAGTAGCTGACACAGGGAAGTCAAGTGTTCCTGACAATCTGGGGACTCAAATTCAGATTCTTGAGGGGTTGAACATTAGACAGCCATTGGAATGGTATGGAATCCCCTAAGAGTGTACCTCACCGACACACGCACATGGGTAGGGGGCCTCTGAGAAGATGAAGATATATAACCATTTGTGGACAGGTTCTCTGGTTTTCTACTATGGCTTCAAGAAAAACTTCAATAAAACCCCCTATATTTATGTATATACCAACCCTATCTTTAACATTTTGTTTCTCATGAAACAAATTAAAAATGGTTCTACCCTATTTTCTTTTGATGAAAGTATTCTAAAAATTCAAAGCATATTCCCCATTGGGTAGAATCAAGCAATGTCAAAATTTTGTAGGAATAAATAGGAATTAATTTTCCTAAGTAAATCTTCTAAAGGAAAAGGCAATAGAAATATGGAAGGACTTGCATTTTGCTAGGGTTATGTGGAATGTGCAAAAAATATGGTAAACCAGGTTTTCTGTAAGTGTAGGACTTTCTCAATTAAGTCTTTCTTGTATTAGTAATTGAGGCCAGTACTCTGAAACCGTGTGAGATGGATAAGCAGTTTTCAGAGGAGTACTCTGTTAAACATTAAAAAGATGAACTCTCACCTCACTTCCAACATTTTAGAAAACTATCCCTCTGCTCTAGAATAAGAGAAGGAACTTGTCTGACTCTGAGCTCCATCCATCTGTTCTCATTCAGCCTCAGTCTGTTCAGTCATCTGCTATAACTCAAGGTTACTTGGATGCAGGCAGCATCAGCCTCGGCCCCACATCCTAGGAGGCTGACTGCCAACTCCATCACATGTTAGGGAAAGAGGCCAATCCCCAAATGCCTCCCTTGTGATCTGCTGGGAAAGTCCTAGCAGGTGTCACATTTATCAAGGAGTTATTCTGTTCGTGATGTCGGGGGACGTTGTCTCAGTCCTCACTCCTTGCCCATCTTCATCCCCAAAAGAAGATCCTACTCCAAGTTTCTCAGGAGCATTCAGAGTCTGATTATCTAATAGTAAAATCAATTCCCCAGGGTCCTTCCTAGTACCCACAAAGAAGGCTCCAAAACCCGATGATCATTCTGCCTATGGACAAAGGTGCTGGGCTGCCTCTAAGAAGATTGGCTCGAGTGCAGATTTGAAAATTAAAAGTTCACAGTCAACAAAAAGTGCTCTCATTACATTACATACATAAATTATCTGATTGGTTCTACATTTCCAATAAACGTCATTTCAATAGGCTGTATTCTCGTAGAGAAGAATGAAAAGCCATGTGACTAGTCACATCACATCCCATCAGTTAGGTTGAGATATAAGTGATTTCTCTGTCACAGAGATCCATCAGCAGCAATCAGTAAAGAGAATCAATCTTCAGTTATTTCCTCCACAGAAATAGTCCCTTTCCTGCCCAGGGAGGCAAATTCTCAAAATTATCCTAGGAGAGAAAGGGTTAATGGCAGGTGGTAGGACTGATACAGGGCAACATCTGCTTTCTCCCCAGTAACTCTGGGAATTCCAATGCAGGTTAAATGTGAAACTTAACACTGATGGTGTTTACTAGCTTATCCAGAGCAAGACCCTGATAGCTCTCACCACTTTTGGCTCCAAGTTCTACGCCCCTTATCTATGGTTTAGAAATGAAGAGGCAAAATGCTCTGGAAGGGTCCCCACCCCAACACTACACAGTCTTCCCTAGTGCTGTGGCTCCTGGGGGAGGATCACAGTGCTGTGTCAAACTCCTCCGGGAGCTCGGTCCGATCCTCTTCACTGGGCTCAGGCTCAGGCCTGCTTTCTTGGTGGTGTTTCATTTGCTCCTTCACTTCTTCTTCTAGGTCACGAGGGACAACAAACTGATCCTCTGGCTCCAGCTGAGTGGGGGCAGCAAAATAGCCAGTTTTCTTCTTGGGTGCTTCTGTGGCCACTTCAATGAGGTTCAGGCTATCTTCTAGGGGCACAATAGAGCCATTGGAGAGTTTCTTTCCATAGAGACAGGAAGTGGAGGGAGACTTCTGTAATTCCATCTTGTCCTTGCTCACTGGCAAAAGTATGCCGCTATTCACACTATTCTGTCTTCGGATCCCCAAAAATACTCCTCTAGCATGTTCCTCAGGACATGGGGTAGGAGAATTCTCTCTAAGAGTGGGAGAGTTCTCAAGATCCCTTCCCCTACAGCAGTGGATATCTACTTCTACTTCTACCTTGCTGCCATTTGTTATGACCCCTTCGACGGGCTGGTCATCATCACTATCTAGGCCATTGTCAGACTGGTTACTTGAGAAAGTTGCACAAGAAGGCTGGCGCTGAAAAACCCCAGAGGTGGGTGTTGGATGAAGGCTGCAGCGCCTCTCTGGTCTTGGAAGCAAGCCAGCATCCAGGCCAACAGTGTTATGTTCGTCAGAAGCAGTGGATCCCACCTCACTGCTCACCTCTGAAGTTGACATCTCACTGCTGAACTCAGAGGCAATACCACTACTGGAGGAAGGAGTGGTTGGCTTGGGAGGGTCCTTGATGATGGTGGTTGAAGCAAATCCCCCAGGACCTGGGAGGGTGAGCCCATTCATTTCACAAGTGCAGCCTTCCTCACCAATGTTCAAATAAACCACCATCGCCCCCACATTGTCCTGACAACCATAGCTCTGGGCTAATGTGCACAGTTTTTTGGCAGCTGCTAATGGGTCTTGTACATGGCGTACTGCGTTGACAGCTTCTGTATATGACAAATGTTCCCACAATGCTTTGTTTCCCAGAATCAGCAATTCATCTTGAATGGTAAGTGGAGTGGAAGATATGTGGGGCTTGGGGAGGATCCAAGGGTAGAGGTATGTGCAGCCCAGCATCCGGGTGCAGCAGGTTACCCCATTCACTTTGTTGTCCTAGAGACACGCAGAATGCAAATTTTGAGAAACAAGCAACAATGACATACAATTTTATATCTTTCTAGATCAAAATGCTTAGGGCTCTACAATAAAACAATTGACATGTTATATATTTTTTCCTAGGATATGTATAATTTTAAGTGGACTTACAAAAATAAATGTATAGAATTCTAAAAGGACAAAATATCATATGGTTACTACACCAAATAGTTCAGAAGACTGAAGCTAAAACTGATTAAGTAGCTAAAAGCCACCTCCATCTCAAAAGATATTTGCTCTAACATGCAGTAGAGGCCTCAGCATGTCTTTAAATAGAGAAACATCCGTTAGAAAAATAATAAGCAGAACTGTTATTAATTCTCCATTACTACTATTCTCAGAAAGGCCAAAACTCAGATGGGTCACTAAAAATGATTTCTCATTTAAAGGCACAGTTGGGACTGAAAAGATTCAGGAAGATATTAAATGGCTAGGAGAATCTTGGTAGCTAAAGCATTAAATAATCTAAAAAGTCATTTAGCCTAGAAAAGGAAAGTCTGAAATCTGTAGCATCATTTACCTACTCTATAAGGACTGTACCAATAATGAATAGCAGATCAAGTCACAAGTGACAGAATTCTAAACTTAGAGAAAATGGAATAACCTTGGTTGCAAGTTGGGAATGTTCATCTGCCAGATACTTTGTACTGATTTCTTTTCAAGATAAAACCAAATAAAACCTCTAAAGCTGTCAGTATATTTATTTCATAGTTGCAGTCATTCTCTGGGTGAAAATACTAACTCTCTCATTTACCAGAATTTGTCACAAACTCTACATTTTATTTTCCTCATCTGTAAAATGGAAGTAAAACAACTTCTTTCATGGGGGTTATGGTAAAGATTAAATAAAATAATGAAAGTACAGTGCTTAGCAAATAATAAGCAAACAATAAATAAATGTCTGTGGTTAAAACAACATTTGTAAAAATATTTCTTATTTGTCTAGGACCCCATAAGAAAAATCTAAACAACATTATCTAAATACTGTAAAAGTAGACCAATCAAACAAAAAGTTATCTTTTATCTTTCATTTGTTTTGACTGAAAGACCTTCTTAAGACTAATGCCTCGTAGTTCCAGAATCTTCTAGTATCAACCACACTATAATGATACTCTTTTTGTTTTGTGCTGCTTTGGATGGAATCTAATATGGATAGTCTTTTTACAGAATTCTGACACAAGAGACAGCCCAGAAATGGACCCACACAAACACAATGCACTGATCTTTGACAAAGGAGTGAAGGCAATTCGATGGAGAAAGAACAGTCTTTTCAACAAACACTGCTGGGACAACCGAACATTCACATGCAAAAAAAGAAAAAGAATTCAGACACAGAGCTTACACCTTTCACAAACATGAATTCAAAAGAGATCATAGACCTAAATGTAAAACACAAAACTTCTGGAAGATAATAGAAGAAACTGTAAGTGACTTTGGGTTTGGCAACAAGTTTTTAGATATAACATCAAAAGCACGACCCATGAAAGAAAAAAAATGGTAAGCAGGACTTCATTAAAACTAATAACTTCTGCTCCTCAAAAGACACTATTAAAAGAATGAAAAAATAAAAGCCACAGACTGGGAGACAATACTTGCAAAACTTCTATCTGATGAGGACTTGTATCCAAGATAGACAAGAACTCTTAAAACTCAACAATAAACAAACAATTCAATGAAAAATGAGCAAAAGATATGAACAGAATTCTGCTTTGCAGTAAACAATGTTCACATGTAAATCCTAGTCTCTTTGAAAGCAAAAATGTTATGCTAATTTCTAAAAAGAGAAAAGCTATAAAATAGTAGAGATGCTGATGCTTTACTATTAAAAAAAAAAACCCAGGGGGCCAGCCCGGTGGCACAGTGGTTAAGTTCGCACGTTCTGCTTCTCAGTGGCCTGGGGTTCGCAAGTTCTGATCCCAGGTGTGGACATGGCACCGCTTGGCAGAAGCCATGCTGTGGTAGGTATCCCACATCTAAAGTAGAGGAAGACGGGCATGGATGTTAGCTCAGGGCCAGTCTTCCTCAGCAAAAAGAGGAGGATTGGCAGCAGATGTTAGCTCAGGGCTAATCTTCCTCAACAACAACAACAACAACAAATTAAAAAGCCCAGAGCATACTAAGCCATATAATATTTTGAAACATTACATTTCAGAATGGAGACATCAAACTATAGAACTTTTTCTTCTTCTGTTTGGAATAACAAACCATATGAGGTAGAAATCAACCAAGGGGGACATTTACATTCATTTTACATGTAAGCTCTACATCTAAAGGATCACAAATGAAGATTTTTCATTTCTAATTAATTTGATTTTTCTTTTTGCGAGTTATTAACTGCTCATTAGATTTTCTCCTAGTACTATTATCTGGTTTGGATACAATTTACAAGGCTTGATGGGAAGAAAATGGACCTTCACTGCCTCTATGCAGAACAGCATTCTCTAGATTTGAGGAGTACAAGTGACTGGTGGAGAGTGAGACTCACCTCTGTTATGATGGCTTTTTGGTCCTTCACCCTCTGAGCCTCTTCTGAGTCCTGTTCCAGGCTGAAGACTTTAGAGAGGGGCACTGGTTTCCCGCTTCGGCACAGGACTGCTTGGCATGTGCCAACGTTGGCCACTGTCAAGCTAAAACTACTTGTTGGGTCGGCAGTGTCAGGGCGGATGTAACAAAGGAGAGCAGAGGAGCCTAGCTTCTGGCCAGCCATTCCTAATTTCCTATTTAGAAAGAAAGGAAAATGAAGACATGGTAGCTAATTTTAGAACAAAGTGGCAGTCCTTCATGTCCGTGATTTCCTTGTTTTTCTGCCATGTGACTGTGAACCAGAATTATCCACCTGAAGGCAGTCTCTTGCTATAGGTGATGATGGTGAAGAGAATCACGTCTTCCATGCTTAGCTGACAAGGAAATTTTACAAAAAGGGTTGGGGAAGGGGAGACAATAAGGGTACGTCTTTCTCTACTGCCTCTGCTTATGTCGGCTCATAGACTACAACGACCTAATTCAGTGGCTTCCGACTTTAGAACATCAGAATCACCCAGAAGGCTTGTTAAAACACACATTGCTGGGCCCACCCACAGAGTTTCTGACTCAGTGGGTAAGGGGCTGGCCCAATAATCTGCATTTCCAACAAGTTTCTGGTGATGCTGAGACTGCTGGTCCTAGAACAACACTCTGAGAACCACTCACTTAGGTTGCAAGTTCCTTGAAGGAAGGACCATAATTCTCCTTGTATTTCTCCCATGCACAAGGCATCTATCCCCTAGATGGCTACTATCAGAAAGATCTGGTTTCAAATTCCAGCTCTGTGATTTAGAGGCTATAGATCCTCAGCAAGTTAATTCTCCCAGAAATTTTTATGATAAAATATCTACCTCTTTGGCTTGTTTTGAAAATAAAAGATATAATAAGAAAAATGCTTGGTATAGTGCCCAGCTCTTGGAGGATGCTTCATAAATTGAGTTCCCTTTCCAAAACCCTTTATTTTGCCAAGTTCCTAGGCTCAATTCTATTACTGAAAAATAGTCTCCTTTCCCAATATCTTTGCTTTGTGTTATAATGACAGATAAAATCAGGTTGGGCTCCAGGCTGCTCCATTTCAACTTTGATTACACAAGTTGACAACCTCTCAGTGGTACATATCCTCTATGCAGCCCACTTGGCGTGCAAGATGCTCCATTAGCTGCTAAGAGATTTTCAACAGTTTGGTTATATAGGGTTTCTGTCCTTAAGTGGCTTAGACTTGAATGAGAAGATTAGTTGGTAAATCCCCACTAATAAGTATTCTAAACACATGAATCTGATCAATGCTTAACCTTTTATAGGTCATTGACTCTTTGGCGAATCTTATAAAAGCTTACCATTTCCTTTCCCCAAATGTACAAATGCATATACACACACACAATTTTTTGTGCATGATTTCTGGGCTTTCCAGATCCTCACCAGTCTTTGGGTCAACAGAGAAAACAGATGGCTCCAGAGACTCTTTAAAGAGCCCAAACTCCACATGCCATGCTGATAGAACGGTCACGAAAGAAGGAGCAAGGTCTCACCTTGCTCTTGTACCTGTAATTTAGACCCTGACTTTCTGGCTTACTGAGACATATTTTCCAAAAGCGGGACTGAGTTAGGGATTATTCAACCCACCTGCTTACCTGTGAGATACCAAGAAGGTGTTAGCCATGAAGACTGTGTCATTTGTTGACTGCTGTACCTCTTCCAAAAGCACGTCTGCCATGGTACACTGGAGCAGGCGAGGGAGCTCCTCATTTCGGTCCCCATCGAACATGCCATACACAGCTCCCACCCCCTCTGCAAAGTTATCCACAGCTAGGGCAGATACACACAGCCTATCACAGAAATACAGAAGGACAAACATCAAAGAATTATTCTTGGTAATAGGTAAAGGATTGGTAAAGGATTATTCTCCAGTGTGCCTTCTTTAAAAAAGTATTAATTGAGGATTGAGAAGAATAGTAGTAAATCCTAATCTACACATGAAAAAAATGTTAGATAAGATAATTAAGTATCATCTGAAAGAGTGATGTCATAAGAAAAGGGGGAATTCAGCCACATCCATGAGCAGTACATATTAGTTTTGCAATGCTGCCAAAGGCTGGACAGATTAAATGTTTTCTCTTAGTAGTGATTAAGGACTAGTATTGTCAATGTCCTTCAGCCGAAGACCCCCAGGAGCACACCTGTGGTTGAATAAGTTGGGTTTATTATGCTGTGCAGCAAGGGAAAATGCACACCGTGGAACTCTAGGGTATATAGGTAAGACAGTATTGGAAAAACCTAGTAGAGAATTTGGGCTTTGGTTGGGTCATTTCGGGGAAGTCTAACAAAGTGGGGAACCATACTAGATTGGGTGCTGTCAGAAAGCAAGGCCATTCTATGGTTGGGTATCTCAATAAATCTTATCTATAGGGAAAGAGGATAAAGCTGTAATTCGTAAAGAAAGTAGCAGTCACCCATTTTAGCCAGGAGAGGGGATGTTTGGTATTTTATGGACTGTGCATTCATCTTGTTTTTGTCTCAGGGGATCATGTTCTCAGGATCTTATCTGATGCTGGCATTCTGTGATTTGTCTATGTCCAAAAGAAGAACGACACAGCCCAACTTGCAGCATCAGATCAGTTCCCAGATCTCAGGGGCTGTCTTTTTTTCCCTCAGTCTCCAGGGCCAAGATACTCACTTATTTCTCTGCCCTGCCATCTCAGCCAGTCCATGGCTCCAGAAGGTAGACGTAATTGTAGAATCAGTGGTTGGCAAAGGTTTCTGATCAATTTTTAGGGTTGTGATATGGCTGTGGGAAGTGGAGGAAGGGAAGATTAAACCATATGCATTTCTGTATTTTACAAAAACAACCCAACAACAATGTATGTTTTTATAAAATAATCTGTTTACAGACCAAGATTCATTTCCAGAGAGACTTAATGACACTAAAGAGAGACTGAAATGACAGTAGTGTGCTGATCCACTGGCCAAGGAGGAGGAGGGAAAGGAGGGAAAGGAAGGAAAGGGGTAGGAGGAAGAAATAGGGGTCAAATATTGTTACAATTGATGCCGTTCATTTCAGTGAAAAACTAAGCACAACAAGGATTTCTACATTTCAGCCAACTGTCCACTTAATATTTTGATACAATGAAGTCTTGGTACAATGAATGAGCTTGCATTGTCTCTTAGATGTTGTAATGTAATGTGATCTGTGCCACCTAAAATATCTATGCCTGGCAGGTAAAAATATTCAGTGTATGGCTAAGCAGTAGTCATCATGCTGAGTTCTAATATAAATAGGCTGACTACTGGATAGAACATCCATCAAAAATTGCATCAGGGGCTGGCCTCATGGCCGAGTGGTTAAGTTTGTGCTCCGCTTCAGCAGCTCAGGGTTTCGCTGGTTCAGATCCTGGCCACAGACCTAGCACCGCTCATGAAGCCATGCTGAGGCAGCGTCCCATATAGCAGAGCCAGAAGGACCTACAAATAGAATATACAACTATGTACTGGGGGCTTTGGGGAGAAGAAGAAAAAAAGACTGGCAAGAGATGTTAGCGCAGGTGCCAATCTTTAAAAAGAAAAGAAATTGAATCAAAGAAGAGAACCAAGCACTTTATGACCGAATTCATTCTATTCCTTTAGTTAATCAAGATTTCCACAGTCCTTAAGAAGACATACACACAGCTGGTAGGACTAAAAGCACATGCAGATTCAACTTCAAATTTTCTTCCTACCTAAATGTGTCCAACGTCTTGTGTTCCAGAACCAGATTTGTATTTCCTGTCAGGTCAAGGTCTTGTAAAGTAGCAGGCAAAGCCTCAGGAATCAGGATTTCTGTCAAGTCATTGCAGCTTAGGTCTACAAACTGAGAGGAAAACGGAGAAATTAAGTTAATTCTTAATTCCCTAATGCTCACTCTCCTACTGTATCCTCAAAGGGAACTTAATTTCTTCCCAGGAATCAATTAAATATACTGTGATCCCAAATTGCCACTTCCTTTTTCCTCATTCACACTCTTGCCATTTCTCCCAAAAGCACATCATTCCAGCACATAAAAGTACCTGGATCTGAGGCAACTGCAGTATTTCTGGGAAAATGCTGATGTTGTTGGAGTGTGCGACAAGGGTGTGCAGCCTTTTACAGTTTGCTATGGTTGTGGGAATGGTTTTAAGCTTGTTGCCACTTAGGTTGAGTTCCTCCAACTCCTCCAATTTATTTAGTTTGCTGAAAAAGAAACACCAAAAATAACATACTGCACCTGAAATAAGTAGCTGCCAAGCAAGTACAGTAGCCACAGAGTACAGAGGTGACCTGGTCCACTGCCAGGTGACTAGTCAGAATGAAACAATCAGATACCAGCAAAGGGAACAAACAGCTCACCATGGTGACTGCTCTCGCTGAATCTCAGCCTAATCTGCCTCCCAGTGTGTTTCAAGGGCTGAAGCTTCCCTTGCTTCTCTTACAGCTGTTGGATCTTGTGGGCATGAACATCTTCCTATTATCTGACTTACAGGAAGTGGCTGAACCAGCATGGGCCTAGGTTTGGTAGATTAGTTATAGTACTTGATTTGCCACTAACTAGTTGCAAAATCCTGGGTAAGTTAATGTCAGTGGACATCAATATCCTCAGCTGTAAAATAAAGAAGTTGTACGAAATCATCACTAAGGTTCATTTCAGTTTTAAATTTCTACAGTGACTTATTCGTAGCACAATCCATCTTCTTAAACATTAACTGAGTGCTTATTATACAGACAGCACTGTGCTTGGCACTGTGATGTGATTCACACTCTTCCACAGGATTGAGCAAAAGTTTCTCCACAGCAAGTGAAGTATCTTAAGATGGCCTAACACCTTTATCTAGATTATTACAAATCGCTCTGATTTCTTTTTATCTATTTATTTAAAAAATTATAAAAATAATAAACTGAGCCCAGCCCTGTGGCTGAGTGGTTAAAGTTCTGCACGCTCTGCTTCTGCAGCCTGAGTTCGCAGGTCCAGATCCTGGGCGTGGCCTTACTCCACTTGCCAGCCATGCTGTGGTGGTGTCTCATATATAACAAAACAGAGGAAGATTAGCACAGATGTTAGCTGAGTGCTAATCTTCCTCAAGCAAAAAAGAGGAAGATTGGCAATGGATGTTAGCTCAGAGTGAATCTTCCTCAGCAAAAATAATAATAATAAACTGCTGTAACATGGAGAGAAAGTTTGGAAAATGAAGAAAATAATCAACAATAATACCGCCAATCTGAAAAAATTACTATTCTCACTTTACTGAATTTCCCACCAAATTTTCATATGCAGATTTGTTTTATATAAATTCACATCCTGCCCTTTTCATTAATATATAATAATTTCTGTTGCTAGAAAATAAATTCACAAATGCTTTTAATAACTAAGATCAGTAAATTAAAATTTTCTTTCTTATTGCAATAGTAATACTCAGTGAAAAAAATTTAAAAATAGAGACAGAAACAGAAAAAACAGAAACAGAAAAAGCAGAAAATCAGACAGAAACAGAAAAAAAATCTTTTAATCTCACTACCAGAGATAATCTCTGATGACAGTATTCTTGTCCTTTTAAATGCAGGAAACTATATTTTTCAAATTAAAAAAGATGCCATATTATACATATTGTTTTATAACTTGTTTTTGTTTTTACTTAATAATATATTCAGAAATTTCTTCCATTTCCATACCTCACACTTTTCTCTTATACTCCTCCCTCCCTGGATCTTTCTGACTTGTGAACAGAAATGCAGTACCCCAATTTCAATCAGTCTCTTGCTGAGCACCCAGAAGTGTGCTAGATTCTGAAAATAGTCCAAAAGACACAGAAGATCTGGACTGTGCCTGTGCAATTACAACACTGTTCAGGAGATGACTTGACAGTGGATTTATTATTCAGTATAGAACATATGTTTCCTTTAATATACTCCTCTTAACTTCCATTTGTTTTATTATCTGTATTCAGATTACTCTAATTTTATGTGATCTCCTGTTAATTCTTATGTTTACTTCTAACTTTATATTTTCATATTCTTTGATGTGTTTTAAGTTTTATATCAGCCTGCTTTTGACCCCTCCAACAATAAGAGTGTCATCAAATTAGGCGGAATTCATTAGTTTCAGAGTATTGCATCTGATATCTCACAACAGCTTCACATACTAATAGAACTTGTCAGTGGTCTGTCACTTTCACTTTATATGAACACATTTGAGTCCAACTGAATTAACCTGATAGGATTTCAAGAAATCTGTCACATTCTGAAATTAAGATTCTGTATACATGTTAAAAGCCATGGTTCAAATTCTTTCAAGGAAGCTATCAAGTTTATCCCACTTGTCTCCTCTAAGCTCTAAATATCTCACTTCATAAATTTTCACAAAAATTACAGGATAAGTTTTCTGAAGTTAATCATATTTCTAAGAAAATTTGTAAAATAAAATCAGAATCAAAATATACAGTTTTGTTTTATTTAAAAGTCCAGGACCAGGGGCTGGCCCCGTGGCCGAGCGGTTAAGTTCGCGCGCTCCGCTGCAGGCGGCCCAGTGTTTCGTTGGTTCGAATCCTGGGCGCGGACATGACACTGCTCATCAAACCACGCTGAGGCAGCGTCCCACATGCCACAACTAGCAGGACCCACAACAAAGAATATACAACTATGTACCGGGGGGCTTTGGGAAGAAAAAAAAAGGAAAAAATAAAATCTTAAAAAAAAAAAAAAAAAAAAAAGTCCAGGACCAGGTGGCTTCCCTGGGGAATTCTACCAAATTTTCAGAGAGGATTTAATACATATCCTTCTCAAGCTATTCCAAAAAATTAGGGAAGATGGAACACTTCTTAACACATTCTACAAAGCCAACATCAGTCCAATACCAAAGCCTGACAAGGACAGGACAAAAAAGGAGAGCTACAGGCCAATATTGCCGATGAACATTGATGCAAAAATCCTCAGCAAAGTATTGGCAACCCAAATACAGCAATACATCAAAAAGACCATACAACATGATCAAGTGGGATTTATTCCAGGGACACAGGGATGCTTCAACATCCGTAAATCAATCTTAACAAAATGAGGAATAAAAACTACTTGATCATCTCAATAGACACAGAGAAAGCATTTGACAAGATCCAACAGCCATTTAGGATAAAAACACTTAATAAAATGGGGATAGAAGGAAATTACCTCAACATACTAAAGGCCATATATGACAAACCCACAGCCAACATCATACTCAATGAGGAAAAACTGAATGCCATCCCTCTGAGAACAGGAACAAAACAAGGATGCCCACTATCACCACTCTTATTCAACACAGTACTAGAGGTTTTGGCCAGAGCAATTAGGCAAGAGAAAGGAATAAAAGGAATCCAAATAGGCAGTGAAGAAGTGAAACTCTGTTTCCAGACGACATGATCTTATGTATAGAAAACCCCAAAGAATCCATCAGAAAAACTATTAGAAATAACTAACCACTACAGCAAAATTGCAGGGTACAAAATCAACTTACAAAAATCAGTTACATCTCTGTACTCTAATAATGAACTTACAGAAAGAGAACTCAAGAATACAATTCCATTTATAACTGCAAAAAAAAGAATAAAGTATCTAGGAATAAACTTAACTAAGGATGCAAAGGACTTATACAATGAAAACTATAAGATATTATTGAAAGAAATAGATAATGATGGAAAGAGATGGAAAGAGATTTCATGCACATGGATTGGAAAAATAAACATAGCTAAAATGTCCATACTACCCAAAGCAATCTATGGATTCAGTGCAATCAGAATCCCAATAACATTCTTCATGGAAATAGAGCAAAGAATCCTAAAATTCATATGGGGCAACCAAAGACCCTGAATTGCTAAAGCAATCCTGAGAAAAAAGAACAAAGCTGGAGGCATCACAATCCCTGACTTCAAAATGTACTACAAAGCCATAGTGATCACAACAGCATGGTACTATTACAAAAACAGGCACACAAATCAATGGAACAGAACTGAAAGCCCAGAAATAAAACCGCACTTATACAGACAGCTAAGCTTCGACAAAGGTGCCAAGAACATATAATGGAGAAAAGACAGCCTCTTTTTTTTTTTTTTTTTTTTTTTTTAATTTTTCCTTTTTCTCCCCAAAGCCCCCCGGTACATAGTTGTGTATTCTTCGTTGTGGGTTCTTCTAGTTGTGGCATGTGGGACGCTGCCTCAGCGTGGTCTGATGAGCAGTGCCATGTCCGCGCCCAGGATTCGAACTAACGAAACACTGGGCCGCCTGCAGCGGAGCGCGCGAACTTAACCACTCGGCCACGGGGCCAGCCCCGAAAAGACAGCCTCTTCAATAAATGGTGTCAGGAAAACTGGACAGCCACATTCATGCAAAAGAAGGAAAGTAGACCATTATCTCATGCCATACACAAAAATAAACTCAAAATGGATCAAAGACTTGAAGATAAATCCTGAAACCATAAAATTCCTGGAAGATAATCTAGGTAGTACACTCTTTGACATTGAACTTAAAAGGATCTTTTCGAATACCATGTCTTCTCAAAGGAAACAAAAGAAAAAATAAACAAGTGGGAATTCATCAGACTAAAGGGCTTCTGCAAGGCAAAAGAAACTAGGATTAAAACCAAAAGACAACCCACCAATTGGGAGAAAATTTTTGCAAATCATATATCCAATAAGGGGTTAATCTCCATAATATATCAGGAACTCACGCAACTGAAGAACAACAAAATAGCCCGATCAAAAAATGGGCAGAGGATATGACCATTTTTCCAAAGAAGATATACAGGGCCAATAAACACATGAAAATATGTTCAACATCACTAAGCATCAAAGAAATGCAAATCAAAACTACACTAAGAGATCACCTTATGCCTGTTAAAATGGCTATATTCACTAAGACTAAAAATAACAAATGTTGGAGAGGGTGTGGATAGAAGGGAACCCTCATACACTGCTCGTGGGAATGCAAACTGGTACAGCTACTACGGAGATTCCCCCAAAAAACTAAAAATAGAACTACCATATGACCCAGCTACTGGGTGTCTACCCAAACAACTTGAAATCAACAATCCAAGGTAACATATGTACCCCTATGTTCACTGCAGCACTATTCACAATTGCCAAGACATGGAAACAATCCAAGTGCCCATCGACTGATGATTGGATAAAGATGATGTGGTATATATGTACAATGGAATACTACTCAGCTAGAAAAAAAGACAAATTCATCCCATTTGCAACAACATGGATGGACCTGGAGGGAATTACGCCTAGCGAAATAAGCCAGACTGAGAAAGACAAACATCAGATGATTTCACTCATGTGGAATATATACAAGCACATGGACAAAGAAAACAGTTCAGTGGTTACCAGGGGAAGGGGGGTGGGGGTGGGCACAGGGGGTGAAGGGGAGCACCTATGTGGTGACAGACAGGAAATAATGTATAACTGAAATTTCACAATGATGTAAACTATTATGAACTCAAATTAAAGATAAAAAGGGCAAGGGATGTGAATAGACATTTCTCTAAAGGAGGTATACAAATGGTACAAATGGCCAATAAGCACATGAAAAGATGCTTATTAGCTACTAGAGAAATGCAAATAAAAACCACAATGAAATACCACTTCACACTTACTAGGATAGTCATAGTCAGAAAGATGGACAAGAGAAAGTGTTGATGAAGATGTGGAGAAACTGGAACCTTCATACATTGCTGGTGGGAACGTAAAATGATGTTGCCGCCTTGGAATAGTCTGAACAGTCAAAATGTGAAACATCGAATTGCCATATGACCTAGCAATTCCACACCTAGTATATACCCAATAGACGTGAAAACATATGTCCATACAACAACTTGTGCACAAATGTTCATAGCAACATTATTCATAATAGTCAAAAAGTGTAAACAACCCAAAGGACATCAACTAACGAAGAGATAAACAAAATGTGGTATACCCATGCCATGGACTATTATTCAGTCATAAAAAGAAATGAACTTCTGATACGTGATATACCGTGGATGAAATTTGAAAACATTATGATACATGAAAGAAGCCAGATACAAATGGCCAAATATTGTATTACTGCATTTACATGAAATGTCCAAAATAGGCAAATCAATAGACACAAAAAGCAGATTACTGGTTTCCAGGAGTTGGCGGAAGGGGCAATGGGGAGTAACTATTCATGTATATAGGTTTCTCTTGGGGGTGATAAGAATGTTCTGAAATTGAAAAAAAAAAAAATATATATATATATAGTTTTATTTTTATTCAAATTATATCAAATGTCATTTCCCTATGTTCTTAGTTCTTGAAAACACAATTTTTAATGACTACTTTCCTGGTATAGATGGACTTTTCTGGTGTCAAATTTTCTAAGTATTTTTTTTTATCAAATGTATTTTGAAAGATAGTTATTTCTCCACTGACCCTGTTTAAAACTTTGACAGAATTAAACTTCTCTTATATGTCTTCTTATAGTTGTATCCTGCTAACTACTATTCATCTCTTCCTCCAGGAAGGCCAACCCCACTCCCGGGCCCTGTGCAGTGGCAGCTAGCTACCTGTGCCTATCTTTAACATCCTGCATTAATTACACTGCATTGCAATAGCCTATATATTTGCCTATTTCCTCAATTTGACTGTAAATTCCTTGAGGACAGAGATTGTAACTCAATCACCATTGTTTCCCCAGCACTTACACAACACAGTATTTGACATACAGTAGGTATTTTATATATATGTATATAAAATGAATAAATTAATGGACTCAACAGTATTTTATAAAACAGTGCTGACAAGAGAAAAGAAAAAATTATCTTCACAATTTCTTTTATTTCATAAGCCTGTACTTTCCTACCTTGAAAATTTCCAGACCATTATTAAGTAATTAGGACTAAGAATTAAACACATTTAACCACTGGTTACTGATACTTAACAACTAGGTACAGATTTTCCCGTTTGACTAGTGGAGTCACAGCATCAGTAAGTCACTCAATATAAAGCAAGAGTACACAGTATGATAGCTACAATGTAGTCTGACAAATGCAAAATTCAGGTCATGTGTCTGAAATGACCAAAGGCTGCACTCATTTACCTTGCAGGAAAAGTCTGTAGCTGGTTGTTGGCAAGATGCAAGATTCGCAGGTGTGGGTGCCCGACCAGGATGGGCACACACTGATCTGTCAGGAGGTTGTTGGTCAGATAGAGCAGCTGCAGTGCACTCAGACTCTCCTCTCCAGCACAGGCAGATGGCAAAGACTCCAGACTGTTTGCAGATGCATTCAGGTATCTGAGACTGATAGAACACACACAAATCATTTGTTGCCTTATGTAAAACCATCATGCCATCTCAGTATGGAACACTGCCATCCCATGCTCCCAAACTAGTGACAGAAGTAATTTCCTCCACGTAGTTTTCCCCAATTGATTCTACCCAGCGAAAGTTCCTTCTACTCAACTCATGCAAGCCAAGTAGAGAGGAAAGAGTACAGGCATGGTTGTGTTCCCAGGCTTCTGTGGTGGCCTGATGCTAACCTAGCTTCATCTTTTTTAAGATTTTTACATATATATCACCAAACTGAGTTCCAGAAAGGATACACCAAATTATACTTCCACAAGGATAAAAGAATATCAATTTGCTCACACCACTGTCAACACTGAGTATAATAATTCATTTTAATGTTTACCAATCTAATAGGTAAAACACGTTATGATTTAAAATTTGCCTAGCATGGCAAATTTTTATTGGTATACCTATTTTTTTATATACCTATTTGGTATATACCAAATAGGTATATAAAGAATATGCTCACAAAGGGGCAGCTAATATTACTAAATTTGTTGTATGTTCTTAAGTCTTCTTCATGTTATGTGATCCACATCCCTAATTATCTGGTAAGCTGTCGAGCGTACTGAGGCTTGTGTCTTTGTATGTGCCAAAAGTGCTCTGTGCAGAGTTAGTGTTAAAGAAGTATCACTGACAGCTGGCTACAGCTGCTGAGTAACTTCCTTACTACAGATTCTAAGGTTTTCAACTAATTTTATTCAAGCTGTCATTAGAATCAAATGCAGTTTTATGCATTACTAACAAATACTTGTTAATTAACAAATGTTACTGCATTAAGACCCCATATAAACTTTCCAAAAAGAAAATTTCCTTCAAACATTTTTTAGAATTTCCAAAGATTTTACTTTTAGAAAAGTCCAACCAAGTGTATTATACATTAAAAGATGTATAAGCTACCAAACAAAGAACAAGCCAAATGCTAAATGCTCTTTGTATGTCTCCTGTAGCCTTATCTTAAATTACTGCTTATCACTGTTTTCTCCATTTCTAAACTGAAGACAATATTGCCCTCTTCATACTGCAGAAGACTATAATTAAAAACCAGCTTTCATTTAATAGTGGTATACACATTAGATAAACCTGATTACAGGTATTAAAATAGGAAGGCAGACTATTTGTTAATTTACAGTAAGAAAGCAAATAACACCTTTTGGAGTAATGTTACCTTTAAATACACAGTTTTCAAAGTAGGTAGTAAAAAGTGTTGCAATAGAGAATGTAAGTAAATGATAGCTTGGTAAAGCTAGAAATAAAAACAATTAACTTTAGTGGCATGTCCTTTTCGATCTAACGCAAAAGCTGAAACTTGCCCGAGGAAACTGTAACTTCTCTTTAAAGGTCATAGCTGTATTCTTTTCTGAGATGAAAATCTGAACTTTTCCAACCTGTTTAAGTTGTTTACAACACTAAAACTTCTTAAGTATTTGATGGGTATTTCAACTTTTGAGTTAAAGATTACTGCCTCATAAAACAGTGTCATATTTTATTTCACACAAATTGCAAATAAGCCTCCACCCATAGCTGGACTATGAGGTAAACACTCTGTAAACATAGTTCCAAAGGTCACTCCAATGACAAGCCAGTGCAGTTCGTTTAGCCAATGATTCTGCTCTTCTAAATAAAATCCAGAGTACTTACTTTAAGGCCTTGGAGAAGAGGGTATCTGGCAGCCTGGTGAGTGAGTTATGCTGAACATCCAGCACCTCAAGGGGGATGTGCTCCACCAGTACCGGAAGGTTTTGCACACGATTGTGTCCCACCATCAGTTTTCTAAGACTCAAGCTACTAAGAATTCTAAGAGGGAACAGTACAAAGAAACAAATAAAAAAGCTACTTAAATCTTTCTTTCTGAGTCTGCCCTTGGCTATTTAACTGAAATCAGTAAACTAATAGGAACATATTCTTCTAGACAATATAATTACCAACAAGTGCCTGAGCCAAGAAAGAAGCCACGACCATATGTTTACCCACCACCCACCAGGAAGTCATTAAGATTTTTCTGGGAAAAGGTGAATTAATGAAAGCAAACAGCACAGAAAAGATCTAAACAAATAAAGAATTTCTAGAATAAATCCATTTAGATTTTAAGTCTAGACAGCACCAAAAATTCAGTGAATTTATCAGTATTAATATAACTGATTATAGTAAGTTAATAATAACAAAATTTACTATAACAAACACTGCTATTTATTGAGTGCTTAAAATGTGCTAGGCCATTTAACTATGAAGTTCAGAAGGGTTAAGTGACTTTGATTTGCCAAAGATCTCACACAGAATGCAGTAAATGGTACAGTCAGGATTTGCACTAAGAGCAGACTCCAAAGGCTGTGTTCCTACCTACCATGCTACAAAGCCTCTAGTTTAATTTTAAAGATTCCATTAGGTGATAACCACACATTTTACACCTCAGAACCTTTGAATATACCATTTCTCCCCAAATACCTCTCTCTTTCTCCCTCCACATAGAGAAATCCCATCATCTTGTAAAGGTCAATTCAAATAAATATTCTCCATGAAGCATTCTCTAATTATTCAAAGTTCTGAATTTCTAAAATATTTTATTTATACAGTGTAGTGAAGAAGAGTGAAGGCCTTGAAGAATGACTACATTCAAATGCCAGTTGCCATCACCTCCTAGTTAAGTGCAACCTTGGGAAAGGTACCCAGCCTCTCTAAGTCTTATTTCCTTATTTGTAAGATGAAGATAACAGCACCTATATAATACACTTGTGAAAGGATTAAATAAGATGATAAAAGGGAAGTTCTTAGAACATTTCCCAGCTCATAATAACTCATCCAATATCTTATCACCGACCTATGCCAGTAACTCTTGTTACATTTTATCACAGTTATCTGTGCACACGTTACCTCAAAAATCTGCTTACTAAATTCCTTGCAGGCCAAGACTATGCATTAGCTGTTACCCTATTCCTTACAGCACTTCACACTGCCCTGTGCTCAGCAGGTACTCACTATTTACTGAACAAATAAATGAAAGTACCTTAGCAAGGCAACCCAAATCTAGGAAAACAATTAACTACATGCATATAAACACATATTGTAATATGTACATATATAATATATACATTAACACACACATACCTCATAGGAACCTCTGTCAGAAGATTATAGCTCATATCTAATATTTCTATCTTTTTTGCTTCACAGGCCCAGTCAGGGACACACTCTAGCAGGTTTCTGCAGAAAATAAATAAGGAAAAGGTATCATTTAAGATGATGAATGGAACTCATTTCTTGTCTGTAATATGTCTGTTAACCAGCCCCTGAGCCTCTTGAGGGCAGGAGCACCATCCCCAAGGCATCCCTGGTAGCCTACCTGTAATACAGTAGGTGCTTAATGAAAGTTGCTAATAGAAGGGTGGAGAGAGAATATGTATATTGGATCAATTATGCCACATGCACAAAGAATTTCAGCAGTAGGAAAAGATACATGTCGTGGGATGGGATGAGGAAGAAATGAGGAAAGACTTAATAGAAGAAGCAGCATTTTAAACAAACCACCAAAGATGAGTAGGATTTCTACAGGTAACGATTGGGGGGAAAGAGAAGCAAATTCTGAGGAAATGAACAGAATGAATAAAAGTGAGGAAAGAGGGACAAAAGATAACTAAGGGAGGAAAAAGTTTCCAGATCATTTAGAATGTGAACTCAAATATTTAGTAGAGCACTGGACAGATACTTAGTAAAAGGAATTTTATTATCAGATGTTACTTAGCTTCTCTAGACTTCAAAGTATCTACTGACCAATTGATCAATACAATGAGGCAGAAGAAACAAGTGCTGTAAGAGAAATGCAGATGCTGCCATGACGGCTTAGTGAAGGATGCACTTTGCCTGAAGTGGATCAAGGCAAGCCCCGAAGAAATAAGACATCTGAGTTAGAATTTGAAGGATGAATGACCTGAGGTGAGGAGAACATTCCAAGCAAGAGATGACAACCTGAGCTAGAGTAGAAACAAGAAAAGAAATGGCATGATATATGTGGGGACTAATAAGCAGTTTGGTGATGCTGGAGAAGCAAATATGGAACAGAGAATGGGAAGAAACAAGGTTGGAAAGACCTAAAATCATGTCTAGAAGGTTGTGACTTTATGCTGCAAGTATAGTGGGATCACTGGAAGGTGTGTAAGCAGCGGGGAGACAATGTCAGTTCTCTACCCTAAATAGCTCTCTCTGTGGATACATGGAGGTCTGATTGAGGAGGTTATATTAGTAAAAGGAAAAATAATCAGAAAGCTGATTAGAATCAGAACTCCAGACAAGAAATGATATGGACCTAAATGAGTGGTAATATACATGGAAGGGAGGGGAGAGAATCCAGAAATATTTAGGAGGCAAAAATCTACACGACTTGGATGTGGATTAGACATGGGAGTCGAGCAGAGGGAAGAATCAAAAATGACTTTCAGGGGGCTGGCCCAGTGGCGTAGTGGTTAAGTCCACACACTCTGCTTTAGTGGCCCTGAGTTTGCCAGTTTGGATCCTGGGCGCAGACCTACGCACTGCTCATCAAGCCATGCTGTGGCAGCATCCCACACAGAAGAACTAGAAGGACTTACAACTGTGATATACAACTATGTACTGGGGCTTTGCGGTGAAGAAAATAAAAGAGGAAGACTGGCCACACATTAGCTCAGGGCCAATCTTCCTCACCAAAAAGATCATCAGATCTAGGTGTAATGAAATTTAAAAAAAAAAAAAGAGAGACTTTCAGGCTTCTAGCCTAGATAATCAGGGAGAAAATCATATCAATAAAAAGGACAATAAGCTCCAAATGAATTGTGAATTTATAGTGCTGTACATCTGGATATGATTTTCTTCAGCAACGATCAAGCCCAGTGGAGAAGATAAATCTTAGTACTGATTCATGTTGGAGTTTTGCTGGAAAGATATGACAGAAAGAAATGGATGGAAGGGAATCTACAATGATAGCTTAATAATAATAATGATAATAAAATAACAGTAAAAAGAAACCTGGATATAATAGCCAGTATTTCTTGAGAGACAACTATATGCCAGGCACTATGCTATATATTTTGGTTTTATTATCTCATTTAATCTTTTCAACAATCCTGACCATACAGGACCCTGTCCACTGCCCTGTCCACCTGCTTCTAGCACTCTATATGCACAGCACTTATGGTGCTGCTCTGCAATTGCTTGTTTGATTGCCAAAGTCTCCACCAGACTGTAAAAATCAACCACTGAATCCTGAATGCGTAACACAGTATTAAAAAATGAATGAAGGAAAGAAAGCAAACCTCATTTATATTTATTCTTGACCACCAACAAAAGTAATAAAATCCTGAATATGATATCTCTCCGAAAATCAGACCAGCATGGGTCACAAGAGTATCAAAAAACGAAGAGAATAAAAATTTAAAAATAAGCCACTATCTAAAAACCAAAAATTATCTGATTCCAACTGGCAAAAAGGAAATCACTGCCATGAAGGGGTAAAAGGTCTTCTTTGTTGGCATCTTGTCTTAAATCAATGGACTTTAAGAATGAGCAATTCATAGGCACCTTTCTATTTCAAGACAACCTTTCCTTTAACTACAGAGTCTTGCCATTAAACTTATTTCTCCACCCATCCTTTGACCCTTCTCCAGGTTATCCAAATACTTCATATTTAGATTTTTTGTACCTCGAAACTACCAAAGTATCCACGTATCTCTCTTAAATAAAGAACCAAACAAGCACCACCCTCATGAGACACACTCACCGGGAGAGTTCTAGAGAACTCAGCAGACTGGGTACTGGATAGACATTCACTGCTGTCAGCTCTAATCAAAACACAAATAGGTTGTTAGTGACATTCTCCAAAGAAGAAAGTAACTGAGAGTAAACAAGGGAAAAGTGGCTTAGCAAAATCACCAGAGAGAAAACTGAGATGAACTAAAGATTAAAATCACTGGGTAACTCACACTGACTAACTTTTAACTGCTTACTCCCAATCTGAAAACCAGTCAAACAACTAACTGAAGGATCTTGTGTATCGCACTGGATTCAGACTAGATCAGGCCACTGTTAAATGTTAACAGTAACTACTTCATTTTTTAATGTGAAAAATTAATAACTGGATTTTCATTGGCAATATTTTAACTTTTAAAGTAAAACAAATAGAGAAAAGCACAACAATCAAGTGTATAGATCGATGAATTTTTACAAACAGAACATACTGGTGTAACCAGTGCCCAGATCAAGAAACAGAACATTACCAGCTCTCCAGAAGCTTCCCCTTGTCTCCCCTTCCAGTCACTGCCCCACAAGGGCAACACCATCCTGACTCACAATACCATAGAATGCTTTTGCCTATTCATATAAATATACACATATAGCATGTATAATATTTTTTTGTCTGTCTTCATTCACACTCCACATTGTGCTTGTGAGATCTGTTTATATTATTGCATATGGTTGTAGCTCATTCATTCTCATGGCTGCATAAAACTTAAGTGAATATACCACAATTTATTTTTCCATTTCAGAGTTGATGGCATTTAAGTCTTTTCCAATTTAAGTCTACTATGAATAGCACTTCTACGTACATTTTTGTTCATGTCTTTTGTGGACTAATATAAGCATTCACAATGAGTATAAGCTCGGGAGAGAAACTGCTAAGTACACAGGGGCTGCTTATGTTCAGTTTAACAGAAACTATCAAAGGTTCCCAAAGTGGTTGTACCAATTTATACTCCCAAGAGGTGATAGTGGTATTTTCAGTCCTCTTCATTCTAGTAATTCTGGTAGGTGTGCAGTGATTCACACTAGGGTTTCAATTTGCATATGCCTGATGACCAGTGAGTGCCTTTCCCTATAGTTCAAACAAGCCCTGTTTAGTACAGTACTGTGATAGAATCTCAGTTACTAAGAAGGACTGCATGTATGTCAGTGAGATCTTTTCCAACAGGGCCAGTAATTCAGATTCTCTAGAGACATTAAGAATAAAGAATAGGCCTGATAAAAATACTTCCATGGCAAAGGACTTACTACCACCTCACAATATCTATAAACAGCACAAGTCAACACTCATTAGCTTTGACACTATTCTGACCTAAGCTACAATCTGAAGCTAATATAACAAAAGGCAATGAAAAGAGAAGTCCTTAACTGTCTTTTATCCTAATAATATATTTTAGAGATAAAGAAAACTAAAGAGAATAAAACAATGAACACTCTTTCACCCATCATCTAGCTTTTAACAAATCTTCACATTATGCTTTATATGCTTCAGACTTTTTTTTTAGGAATTAAAACACTGCACATACTGAGAAGTAAACATCATCCCGAATATAATTTTTTTCATTCCCATGCATTCTTTCATACTGTTATGCCATACTCACAGTTAAGAAAACAACTTTTTTGTGTGTTTTAAAATGTGATGTAACTATCAGTGTACATATAAATATGCACCTTTTTTGCTCAAAAAATGTTTTTGAGATTTATCCATATTAATATACAAAGCTTTAGTCATTTCCACTGTTGTGCAATGTTCTATTGTATAAATATATCACTGTTTAGTTTACCCATTTTCCTATTAACAGTCATATTTTTTCTTATTTTTTTCACTATAACAAACAATGCTGTGGTAAACATTCTTGTACCATATCCTTGTGCACATGTGAGTGTCTTCGGGAATAGTCCAGGCAGGGAACTGCTAGAATACCGGCTATGTGCACCTTCGACTTCTCTAACACCATCATACTGCTCTCCAAGGTGGTTTTTCTGACTGACCCTCTCACTGGCAGTGTATGAGAGCTGCTGCCTCTCCACATCTTCAGTAGCACTTAGCATTATTTTTTCATTTGATGAGTATTAAATGGTATTATCTATATTTGCATTTCTCTGACACTTAGTGAAACTGAACATCTTTTCCTTTCCTTCTTTAAACACAAAAAGTAATTGTAACTTCTTTGGTAAAGAAGAACTCTCCATAAAAAGAATGGCTTCAACAAATATGAGGCCTTCTACATTGAAAAATATTCCTGGAGCAAATCACCATCTAAATGAAGGGCTTCTCATTCTAGAACTGAGACAGCACAAGATTGTAGACTACAGATTGGCAAACTTTTTCTGTAAAAGATTAAATATCTAGTAAATATTTTAGGCTTTGCAAGCCACATGGTCTCTCTTACAACCACTCAATCCTGCCACTATAGCATGAGAGCAGTAATCTGTAAACAAATGAATGTGGGTGTGTTCTAATCATACTTTATTCATTGTAATTTGAATTTCATATAAATTTCCAATGTCAAAATTATTCTTCTTTTGATTTTAACCCAACCACTAAAAAATGTAAAAACCCATTCCTTGTGGGCCATACAAAAACAGGTGGCAGGCCAAATTTAGCCCCTGCGCTGTCGTTTGCCAATCCTTGTTTTAGACTATTACTGATACTCTATTTTGAACATGCTTGTCCACCCTCCTAATCCTCTATTATTTGCAAAATGCCTCTTATTATTCTCACTTAGTGAATATCAAAATATCCTGCAATATCTTTATATGCATATCTCAACCACATAAGTGTTGACAGCAAACTTAAAAGATAAAGTTAGATCTCAATGAACCTCAAACTCCACTTTGCAGAGTGGCTGAGGAACACCACAGATGCCATTGTTCTTTCAAAGCTCTGACGAGAGGTACAAGAGAAAAAAACAGGAGGCTGGATAGAGAACTCACTGTTAGAATTGGCGTATAGAGTTCGAAGGGAGAAGCCACTGAGTGTCAGCTCCCTCAGCTGGTTCCGCTCACAATGCAGCTGCTCCAAGCTACACAAGGAGCTAAGATCTAAGTCAGTCAGTTGATTGTCCCGCAAATCCATGTGGGTGATGTATTTATTTCCCTCCAGATTTTCAATAACCATGGTTTTCAAATGGTTCATCCTTAATATTCAGAAATAAGGGAATCATTAGAAATAAATTCTACTAAATGTGCTTAGTAAAAGAAAAACAGGAGAGGTATAATCCCTTTCTCTTTCCTAAACAACTTAAGAATTTCACTATTTGCAGTAAATACATATATAAATTAAATAAAGAGAAAGAAAAAAGGGACCATATCCACAAACAGTTAAAAACTTACATTCAAATACCTAATAAAGTTATGTAGGGACAAAGGAGGAGGACAAAGTTACAAGAAGATGAACATAACGTTTTGGGTTACTGAGTAGCAAAGCAGTCATGGACCACCATGTCAAGAGCAAGAGGAAGCAGCCATACTTTCTCCCATTGCTCTGCCTACTCTCTCTAGTAGATTCACATTACATCAATGGAGAGGAAAAGAATCTGTATCTATATAAAATAGTTCAAGGGCAAATTATAAAAAATGACTTCTTGGTTCTCTTCTATACAAGTATAGAAGGCACACTGGCCTGTTCTCATTTTCCTGTATTTCAGTAAATTTTTCTGTTACTATGTCTTTACAAAGGATATCAATGGCTTTGTGTAACTGATAGAACATCCAGTATGTGTCTTTTACCAGCTTCCTTTAGGAAAAGATTAAAACTAAAAAATAAAACTCTTATAGAAAATTATTAGTAGCAAATCTTCAATATTTTAATTATAATACAATGGATATCAAGAAGAAACCCAATGATTCAACAGAAAAATGATTGCGTTTGTAGAAAACTACCAATAAGTACATAAAAAAATGTTCAACCTCACTCATAAGTAAATAAATGCTGATTAAAACAATAAAATACTATTTTTTACTTACTACACTGCCAATAAGGGAAAAGATGCTAAAGTCCAACACTGATAAGGATATGAGGAAATGGGAATTCTCATAAAATGCTGCTCAGAAGGTAAGTCAGAACAACCTTTGTCAAAGGCAATTTCAAAGTCTCTATCATGTGGTACACCTACCTCATTCATAATCTGCCTGCTATTGAGTAAAAAATGAAGCTTTACTAAAGCTTTGAAAATATACACTGTTCTAAAATCTTAATGTTTTAAAAAAGTCTCTATAAAGAGAAAACACTTAAAGGTCCTTCAGAGGTCAATCCAAAGGAAGATATGGTAAAGAATGACCTTACCTTAAATCAACATATTTGATATGGCTCATTCTGTTCAGCACCCCTAAGTTTAGGACTTCCAGTTGATTTCCTGCCATAACCATTTTATCCAACATAGTGAGTTTCTCATAAATCTCAGGAACTTGACTAAAGTTGTTGAAGGAAATTCCCAGAGAGGAAAGCTGTTGCAGATTTCCCAATTCTTCAGGTAAAGTAGTCAGAAAGTTGCCATCAAGACAGAGGGTTTGAAGACTGTAGGAAGAAAAAAAAACAAGACTACATTATGAAGGGTTTTAACTGGAATAGATAAAACAAGAATTAAGAATTCTGACTTATGTCACTAATTTATTATGAATCTGATAATGATAAAATGTCCGAAGTCTATCTAGGGTGACTTAATAAAATGACTTATACGTAACTGACATGGGTGGTCTCTCCAACATCAAAAATAGTCAAAGCCTCTGCCGTTGAAACAGAGGGACTAGTCCCCGCTGTAGGTAAGTAACTGCTGCTGACTAGAATCCTCAGAATTACATGATTTATTTCACTACAAGAGCTCAGGGTACTACCTTCACTCCAAATGCCAGACAACTTCCTGATTCTGCAAGGGAAAAGAGAACCTAGTAAAAGTCAGATACTTACTTTAGTAGATTGCCAATCTGACTCGGCAGGTCATGAAATCCATTACAGGAAAGGTTGAGCTCAGTCAGGGTAGAAATCTCACATAACAATACAGGAAAAAATCCAAGTTTATTGTGGGACAAGTTCAGGCCCTTCAGCTGAGAAAATCTAAAAATCAAAGGTATAGATTATACTATTGAATAAAAAAAATCTGTTTTAAGTGTCTAGCACAGAACTGTTTTGCAAATATTTATTATTGAGCGCTCACTACGTGTCAAACATTGTGCACGGCACAGATGCTAAGATGACTAACACCCACCCAGTGCTATCAAGGACACTAGGTCTAATATGATGGGAATTCTTCTTTCTTCCCCCTAAAAAGGCAGATAATCTTGAAGAAAAGTTCACATTGGTACAATTATTTTATATCAAGTCATACTTGATATGCTTGAAATCTCTTTCTTTATTAACTTTCTACATGCAATATACAAAAGCCTTACAACAATTAATCAACTCATGGACACAGGAAAAGCTAACAAACCCCCTTATAGGCAACTTCTTTTTTTCATATTGAAATCATGTCGGCTCAAATGTTACTTGAAATGAATAGGCCAGTCAGATCTTAAAAATATGTATGTGATATGGAGTTTTACTGTAATGTGGTCTGACACACAATATGAAATAGTAATTTTTAGTGCTAGTATTTTGTTTGTAGAAGTAAAAGTATCTATATTGTCTTATCCAGAGAAAACAGCATCATAGATTGGATCCACAGGAGTTCTCTGGTAATTCTACTTAGAAGTAGTATACTTCATTATTATACTAGCGCCAGAGGGTAAGGCTGAGGTGGAGTTCTCCATGTTGATGACCTGTATCACCTGCTTCTAGATTTGAATCCTTGGTACCTAACTCTAATGTTCCTCTTTCAAATCTTCAACTTTTGATTTCCAGTTGTCCTGACCTTGAGTACTGATTGTTCCTTTGGTTTGGTGCCTTGACTTCAGAATTCCTAATCCAGCCCTCAAACTAGATTAACCTTATTTTCATAGTGACTCAGAAGGAAACACTAGAAATCCACTTCCTTAAAATTATAGATTGTTTTTATTTTTACATAGCAATATTATTAAAATAATTATCTCATTACTAAATACAGGCTTTTACTTGAAAAACTTTGTAAAACATATCATATGAGATAAAAATCATAGTGCTTTCTGAAAATCCTTCTAGAAAATTCACTTACTAAGAAGTATATAAAATGTCATTTCAAAGTGTATTATCTTTTTAATTACCATGTAATTTGAATGCTTTACTTTCCAATTTCTCCCTTCCCCACAAGAAGCCCAGATAATTATTTACACCATATATTTATTCACTTCCATCCATTTTTAAAGAGAGGAGGGAGATGAGATGGGTGGAGGGTGGATGTGGGGAATACATTCTAACAAAGAAGATGGAAAAATATATGGGTCACAGTCCCTTGCGAGTGAAATGGTTCCTTTATTAGAAGAGAGAGGTTTCACAGCTGACAAAAAGCTCAAGAGCTGGCAGAGATAAAAGCCCTAACTTGGGAATAGAATTCTTGAAATTAAGCCTATTTCCTTTAAGTCATTTAAGCTTGATACTTTTGATTCAAAAACTTCCCATAAACTGAATCTCTCAATTTACCCTGGTTGCAGATCACGCACCACTGTCAATGACTTACATAAAAAGATTATCCAGACGTACAGCAGTTCAGTGTTGCCTCCATAACAGAATATTTGCACCTATCTTCCGTTTTATGGAGGATTTGCACCTATCTTCCGTTTTATGGAGTGGGGAAGGGGAGTCGGAAAATTAAGTGAATAAAAAATTTTACTTCATCTTCAAAATGGAGGGGAAATTTTTGAATATATATATAATGGTAAGCATGTTTACTTACAGATACAAAGCACTAAGATATTGATTACGATTCAGTTTTAATAAGTGAATCTAGAATCCTATTTTCCACATACTTGTAGAGAGTGTCAAGGCCCCCTGGTCTTTCTAATTGCATGAAGTTGTGTCGCAAGTTGAGGTAGGTGATATCTTGACTGTAGAAGAGATGCTCAGGAACCTCCTCAAGGCTGTAACATGAGAGATCAACAGTACTGATTCGCTGGGACACCACCTGAATAAGGCCAAAGAGAAGAGCCATCTGAGCCAGCACTGAACGTCTCTCACCTAGCATAGGATGGAATGGCATTTACACAAAAAGGCACTGATTAAAAGGATGGGAAAGAAAAAAAGGTAATGAGATCCAATTATTAATTTATAAAAACCAGCTTTTACTTTTTCCTAAAACCACAGCTGCTTAAAAAACACCAAGTATAAGCTGTAAAGTGCCTACAAATAAAAAGTAAAAAAATACAAATATAAGGATAGAAAGTTAACATTTCATGCAACAAGTGAAGTTAAGATGATTCAAAATGATTGCATAAAACTTTGGGAGGCCCTGTGATATTGAAGGACATAGCCTTTTGTAGACACATGGGCTCTGTTACTTACTAGTGCAGTTTCTTCATCAGTCGTGTGAGTAAAATTAAGTAACCAAGAACACAGCACACTGCTTAGCATGCAAAAGGTGCTCAAAAAATATTAACTTCTCTTTATAAGGGCAGAAGAATGGAATAGCTACTTAAAATAGAAACTAGTTTTACTCAGAGCAGATTTTATTACCACCACAATGTAAATACAGAAAATTCAATATAACCAAAACGAGGTTTATATTTCTATAATATGCTAATAAAATATGTGTTGTGAAAATGGGTGTAAAAAACCAAACAAAATATCACTGGAAAAGTCATTCATGTTCTGATGGCATGTCATTATACTGGAACAATCTTTTATGTAACTGTTTAGCTCCAAAAAAAAAAGTGTTAAAATTCTGTAAAAATAGCTAGGAGAATAAGGGAATTTGGAAATTGCAATGCAATTTTAGAGCATTTCATCCTTAAAGACTAAAAAAGCAGAATGATGCTGAAAAGCTAATCATCCTCAGCATACAGGAATAAGCGTTTGTGACAGGATCACAGGTCATGTCCCATCAAGAAGTTGAAACTTGAAGTGGTACATCAAAGCTGTGCTAAACGTACACAGATCAAGAAGCACTAGGCTCCAAGTCAGGGAACGGCTCTATCACTGACTACCAGGATGGAGGGAAAGTCATTTGAATCTCACTGTGTCTCAATTCCTTCAAGGCCCTAGCGTCCTCACAGAGATGGTATAAAGGTAAATGTATCTGGAAAGACTTTTGAAAGCATTTTGTACTATGCAAATATAAATAATAAGTTAAGGATCTGGTGGAATTCCACGATTTCACTCATTATATACTCAGAAAGGCCTAGAGTAATATGCATAAAGATTATAGTTTGCTCGCTTGGGAGTAAGGTGTTTCAAAATACACTTCTATTGGGCTTCTACATTCTTATCTCCACATCAGGACGTCTGACAGCTCATCACCTTGGACGCTTGCCGCTGCCACCTCTGGTACTCAGCTAAGGTCTCAAAGCTGACATGATAGGTCTGAGCTTGGGCTCCAGCTGAACTGAACGCAAGCGAGTACTGCCGTCGCTTCACTTCTTCTACCTGAAGAAGAGCGGGGGAGAAAATCAGAACCAATAAAAAAAATCCTAGTCAAAAAGCAAAGGACAATAACAAGACAAATAACTCAATTTTTAAAAATAGGCAAAGGATCTGAATAGATATTTCTCCAAAGAAAATAGAGAAATAGCCAATAAGCACATGAAATGATGTTCAATATCATCATTTATTAGATAAATCCAAATCAAAGCCACAAGATATCACATCACATCCACCAAGATGGCTAAAATAGAAAACACAGATAATAATGAGTGTTGGATATCAAGTATCAGCAAGGATGTGGAGAAACTGGAACTCTCATACACTGCTGGTAGGAATGTAAAATGGTGCAGCCACTTTGGAAAACAGTCCGGTAGTTCCTCAAAAGGTTAAACATAGAGGAAACATGTGACCCAGCTATTCTATTCCTAGGCATATACTCAAGAGAACTGAAAACACACATCCACACAAAAACTTATACATGAATTATAGCAGCACTATCCATGATAGCTGAAAAGTGGAAACAATCTAAACGTCCACCAAGAGGTAATCATACAAACAAAATGTGGTATATCCATACATAGAATATCATTCAATTGTAAACAGGAATAAAATATTGATACACACTACAACATGTATGAATCTTGAAAACATTATGCTAAGTGAAAGAAGCCAGTCACAAAGAACCATAAATTGTATGACTCCATTAATATGAAATGTCCAGAATAGGCAAATATAAAGTAGATTAGTAGGTGCCTAGAGGTGGGGAAGGAATGGGGAGATGATGGCTAAGGAATGCAGGGTTTCTTTTTACAGTCATGAAAATATTCTAAAATTGATTGTGGTGCTGGTTGCACAATTCTGTGAACATACTAAAAGCCACTGACTTACACATTTTAAATGGGTGAATTGTATGGTATATGAATTATATCTGAATAAAGCTGTTTAGAAAAAGCAAAGGAATATTTATTTAACAAGTATGTTGAAGGAGTAGGACTCAGAGGGCGTAATCATAAGTAAATTTGTTTATTACTCTTTAAGTCACAAAATAGTCTGAATTTGATAATTAAATATTTGTTGAATGAATACATTCTACTGTTTGGGATGCTAGAGACAGGAGGGTAAAAACCAACAAAGTCCCTGCCCTCAATGGAGTTTATATTAGAGAGGCGACAAACACTCTAACACCAAAACTGTGACACGATGTAATATATAATGAGTAATACATGAAGAAAAAGCAGGGTAAGGGCTTGGAGGAGAACAGGGTGGGTAGTCTGAATTATGAATAGGGCAGTCACTGAGGAGGTAACAAGGGAGCAAAGACCCTAAGGGGGTCAAGAAGCAAGCCATGGAAATCTCCTGCAGGAGGAGCATTCCTGGCACAGCAACAGCAAGTTCAAGTCCCTGCAATGCAAGAATGCATGGCATGGCATGGTTCAGAACAGGAGTCTTCAGACTGATGTGATAAGAGCCAAAGTTTCCACTTCAAAGGTAAGACTGTTCCAACTCTTTCCCCTCAAAACTGGAGCACACTGGGGGCAGCTTCCTGCTTGCAAGGGGTGCCCTGGCCTGGTTTTTGGATTCACCTCCTCCCTTACTTCCTAGGTGCTGGGCTAGATGCCATCTCTGATCCCCTCCAGGGTTGAAGTGGAAAAGGAGGAAGGACAGGGAAGATAGAAGCCCAAAAGTTCCTTCTAGTCTAGCAGAGTCATAACCTGACTTCGCACTCTCTGGGCCTAGCAGATTTTAAAGGGGATGCTGTCCCTCAATGTGTCCTTTTGAGGGTTCTTTGGGTACTCCCCACCCCAAACCAAGCAATGATGGCTTCCCACTGACAGATCCCTTGACCTGGCTAATGCATGCTTTTCCAGCAGTTGACCACTCCCTCCTTAGATCCAAAGGAATCTGGTGGTCCACTTACAGCCTGTCCTCTGGTGGAGCCTGTTTGCTCCTCCAGGTGGCCCTACTGGACATGTTCTAAGAGAATCCACCCATCCATCCAATGGCTCTCACTCTCTCTTCAACCCATCTGGGTCACATATTAAAAAATCCAAGTAATACACAATGATCCCAACATATGAGCTAGGCTTTGCTCTTTCACCAAAGCAGCCAGGTAGCCTATTTCCTATCCTCGAGACTTCCCAGTCAGAAGGCAGGACACCAGTCCACTATGTCCCCTTACTGCAGGGAACCCATATCAAGCTTTCTTGAGTCCTGTTGAAACCTCTTTCACTGAGGAAAGAGGCAGAAACCTCTTCCCTTCCTATTTGGTGGGCGATAGGGATTCACAGTACAACTCTCTTCAAAGAAATTCTCCCCCAAACTCCAACTCAACCTATATAGCTTTGATTAGGATGAAGTCTTTTTATAGTTATAGAACCACTTACATCTTTGTCTGACACCTCACTTTGGTATGTCATAGCTACTGAATCTTGGTGAGTCAGCTGGAAACTTTCAAGTTATACTCATAAATCATTAGGTTTCTGGTGCCAAGTAAAAGTTGAGTCAAATGGCAGAAATACAAAATACTTTAAGCAAAAAAAGAATAATAAAAAAGATCCAATAAAATTAAATAACAACATTCAATTGTGATGCTCACAACATGACCATTTTATATAATAAATCATTGCAATTGAATGAATCTGTGTTAAAATAAAGGATTTTATTGAAATGAAGAATAGATGCTGTTTTAGAATAATCGTTTAAATATTATGTGATGTTTGACACAGAAATACAGAGCCATATATCAAATAGTGAGACAGGTTTGTAAATCCCCCACAACTTCAGAATTATTAAATATTCATGGTGAAATGTTCCTTTCCTCACTTTGTAGTGAGCCTCTTTATCCCTACTAACGCTTTTGCATTAAAGTCTTTTTTGGGAGATAAGTTTTACTGAGGTATAATTTACATAAAATAAATTTGTGATTTTTTTTTTTAATTCACTGATTCTAAGTGAACATTTTGATGAGTTTTTATAAATAACACAGTTGTGTAACCCTATTACCCGCAAAATTTCCCTTGTGCCCTTTTGCAGTCAATTCCCTCCCTCCACACCCTGGCAATCACGCATCTGTTTTTCTATCACTAGAGCTTTTTGCCTTTTTTAGAATTTCACATAAATGAAATCATACAATAAATAGACTTTTGTACCTGGCTTCTTTCACTTAGAATAATGCTTTTGAGGTTCCTCTTTGTTCTTGTGTGTAGCAGCAGTTCATTCCTTTGTAGTGCTCAGTAGTATTCCAATATAAGCATATACCACCTCTGTTTATCAATTCACCAGTCAATGAACATTTGGGTTGTTTCTAGTTTTTGGCAATTTGAATAAGGCTGCTATGAATTTCCAGTCAAAGTCTTTGTAAAGATATAATTCATTTCTCAATACCTAGGAGAATTTCTGGGTCATCTGATAAGCATGTTTAACTTCATAAGAAATGAAAAAACTGTTTTCCAAAATGACTGCAATCCCACCAATGACGTATGAGTGTTTCAGTTGCTCCCCACCTTTGCTAAACTTGGTATTCATCAGTCTTTAAATTTTAGTCATTCGAGTGGTGTGTAGTATCTCACTGTGATTTTAATTTGCATTTCCCTAATAACTAATGATGTCAAGAATGTTTTCATGTGTTTATTTGCCATCTCTGTATCTTCTCTGGTAAAGGGTCTGTTCAAATCTTTTGCCCAGTTTTTTGTTAGGGTATTTTTCTATCACTGAGTTGTAAAAGTTCTTTATATATTCTAGATACAGTTCTTTGTTGCATATGTTTTATATGATGTTAATATAACCACACCAATTTTCTTTTGGTTGCTATTTGACCAGTATAATTTTTCCATCATTTCACATCCAACCTTCTAAGTTTTAGGTATGTCTCATAAACAGAAAGTAGTAGGATTTTAAATAACAATCTGACAATCATGATTATGGTGATTACTAATATATTTGGATTTATTTCTACCACTATAATTTGTGATAATTTATCATGCTAATTATTTTGCTCCTTTTTTCTCAACTCTTTTCCTGCCTTTTAGCATTACAGAAATTTTTATATTTTTTCCCCTTCTACTTTTAGTGATTATCCTTAAAATTTTTTAATTCATGCTTGACAATTTTTCTAATAAAGTTTAAAGTTACTTTGTGTTTCTATCCTTTTATTCCAAGACTGCATCACACTTTACTTATCAAACACACCACTGCATCTTGAATACTGTTCAGCGTAGTTTGAGCTTTATTAGTTCATATTTATATTTAAAATATATCGGCCGGCCCCATGGCTGAGTAGTTAGGTTCACGTGCTCCGTTTCAGTGGCCCAGGGTTTCACTGGTTCAGATCCTGGGCACGGACATGGCACTGCTCATTAGGCCACACTGAGGTGGTGTCCCACATGCCACAACTAGAAGGACCCACAACTAAAATATACAACTATGTACTGGGGGAATTTGGGGAGAAAAAGCAGGAAAAAAAATCTTTATATTTAAAATATAAAAATCTTTAAAACCTTTTATAATCAATACTAAATTTATTACCATATATTAGCAATGTCTGCACTCATCATTGTTTCTTATATTCATTGTTCACACCTTCCCTTTGTTGTTTTCTTGTTTCTTTTCCTTCCTTTCTTTCTTTTTTGGTGGGAGGTTTGTTTTTACATCCTTTAGTAGCTCTTTCAGTGAGGTTGTGTCAGCTCATTAGTCTTTGCATGTCTGAAAATGTCCTATTTTGCCTTAACTTCTGTAAGATAATTCAGCTGGATATAAAATATAGGTTGACATTTATTTCCTTTGACCAATTGTGCAAATAGTCCTCTGGCACATATTGTTGATGAAAAGAAGACTTGTCAGACTGTCAATTCTTTTTAGGTAATCTTTTTCTCTCTGGAAGCTTTTATGATTTTCTCTTTGTCTTTCATGTTCTGCAATGGGTCTAAGTGTAGATTTATTTTTATCTATCCTACTTGGTATCCAGCATACTTTCAATCTGAACACTCATGTTTGTCTTTACGTCTAGAAAAATTTCAACCATTATTTCTTCAGATATTGCTTCTCTGTTCTGCTCTACTCTCTTCTCTGGAACTTCCATTAGATACATACCAGCACCTTCCTCGAGGGCTCTTCTGTATTTTTTATCTGTGAAATTCTTCAATACATCAGTTTATTACATTCAGCTATAAAACAGTGGCTTAAAAAAAACAGAGTCAGTCCAGGACTGCAACAGCAGCTCCATAATGCCATCAGGGATGCAGGTGCCTTCTACTTTCCAGATGGCCACACTCAGCATGTGCTTGCAGTTCCCAGTCACCATATGACCATTCCACCTCCAACACTAAGGGACTGTGTTCCATAAAGGAAGGAGAGTGGGGCAAAGGTTCAAGCCATCCATTTCTGTCCCATTTTAAAGGGCTTTCTCAAAAGTTCCACCTGGAAATTTTTGTTTTTATCTACTAGCCACCACTAATTACAAGGGAGGTTGGGGAGATACAGTTTTTGATCTTGGTCATACTGCTACTCTGAGCAAAATCCTCTTCTATTAGTGAGAAAAGGGAAAAATGAACAAGAATTACTTGAATGGAAGGTTTGTTTTTTCCTTCTCCTTCTTGTGCTGTTTCCTGCTTCCTCTCCACCAATCTCCCAACCTTGTCCTCATTCATGTTCTCCCTTTGGAGAAATTTTACTTACTTTTTCACTCTGTTCTTCAGCCCCCAAGATCAGAACCAGGTCTCATTTTGGTAGTGGTGGGTTCCTGCCCCATGGTTGATACTGGAGTTACACACATGAATTCATTAAGCCAGTTGGGGCTTGTTCATTTCCTAGTTGCAGGCCACATAACTGAGTCCTTCCACCTCTTTAGGACCACAGCTAGCAACAAGCCTTGTTTCCAGGCAGTGGTTAACAACAGTTTCGGGTTTGGGGTTTTGGATTGGTTGGGTTTTTTTTTTTCGCTCTTTTTCCAGAAGCAAAGAGTACCACTGATCTCCTGGTTCTAGAGAATCAGCCTGGACCAGGTCCCCTCTGGTGAGCAGAGCACTTTTACACCCAAATGCTTATAGGAGCTGAACTCCTGGGCTGCTACAACCTTTCAGACCCAGAGCCTTCAGACCTACTCACCACTTACATTTCTATTCTACATTTCTAAGCCCAGCTATGTCTTTTTATATATATTTCTTTTTAATATATGTATTTTATCTATATTGCTGTATATCTGGATCAGACTGGATATCTCACAGCACGAATTCACAAAGTCATTTTGTCTGGACGTTCTCTTAAATTCAGAGAAATTGTTGTATGATATTTGAGATTCAAAATAAAAGAAATAAAATTATGTATAGCTTCATATAAATATTAACATATCTGTTTTCAGTCATATGTCATTCTGTTTGGCTAACTTGCAACTGAACTCCTTTCCTATGATGGGGAATTCTCTAGTACAGTTGTAAGAAATGGCATGCCTCCCTGGCTGCTGGATAGGGGCTTATAACCACTCCAGACTCTGAAGTTTAGTTTAACGGGCAAAAAAGAGAAACTAGAAAGAATCTATTTCAGTGATGGCTCCTGGCAGCTACATCTAGTTTCCAAAGGCAGCTTCTAGTGGTAGCATCCTGTCTACTCTTGGTGTTACCAGTGACAGTATCTAGTGCCTAGCAGTGGAGGCACAGTGCCTTCAACAGACAGGTTCTGTAGCAGAATTTGGGGCATGGATAGCCTTTGGACCTCCTAGACAGCCTGTGATGTAAATAGATCTGTTTTATGCTTAAATTAGCCTGAGTTGGTTTCTTTTGTTTAAACCTAAGAACCCTACAGAACAAACTTTGTGCTATAATCCTTCATAATGCTCATATCGGCTTCTTTGAAAAGATGTGGAAAAAGCTTTGAAAAGCATCTGTGATATCTTTTAAATTAAGATGATCAAAGGAAGAATAGTTCATCTTTGGGAGTCTTACCTTTCCCCCAACCAGAGGCAGAATGTGCATCTTTCCAGTTTGACAATCCTTTACTGAGGAAACGATGAGGCAGGTGCCACAGAGAACAACGAGACGTTCAGCCCACTTATGCAGCTGGGTCTTTCCCTTGCGTACATTATAGATGCCAGACAGAAGGATTCGATCCAGATGATCCATCTGGCATGGTTTTTCTGAAAAGAAAACAGTACTTCAGAAACCACCATTAAAGTAGCATAAGAATACTGAAAGGCAAAAATAAAGTATTATGTGTCAACATTCCGCATACTTGTTTATAGATTTAGGTAACCAAACAATGTAAGTGTTACACCACAAGATCTCAGTCCTAAAATGTTATCCATCACTAAAGTTATATAACAGGAGTGCCATGAATTTTGGTCTAGAGAGCAAGATTTTATTTTGGATGCCACTGTTAATCCTTCCAACAACTATATCTCTCCTGTACACAGAGAAAGGCAGTATGGCAGAGTGGTTAAGATCGTGGACTCGGGATTCAGACATTCAAACCTGAGTGTGAATCCTGGTTCTGCCATATACTTTGTTTCCTTGAACTACTTAATCTTGCTGAGCTTGACTTTCCTCATTTACACAGTTTAGATCTTAATACTACCCATCTCTGGGGAGTTCTCATAAAAAATTAAGATAATGAATGTAAAGTAAAAGCATAGTTTTAGGTACAAAAGTATGGAATAAATGACAGCCACTATTCTTGTGATTAGTCTATTCTAGAAGGAAGAAATTCATAACTATGGGAATACTCTATTCTGTATACAATCCTCCATCTTTCTGCTCTTCGTGAGGAAAAGCTTATGGCTGATACTTCAATCAACTATCCCAATCAAGGTGGCAGAAGCTGATATGTGCATGCAAGAACTTCTCTTTCTTTCTTTTTTTTTTTCTGCTTTATCTCCCCAAACCCCCCTGTACACAGTTGTATATCCTAGTTGCAGGTCCTTCTAGTTGTGGGATGTGGGACACCACCTCAACGTGGCCTGACGATCAGTGCCATGTCTGCGCCCAGGATCCAAACCCTGGGCCACTGCAGTGGAGCATGCGAACTTAACCACTCGGCCACGGAGCCGGCCCCAAGAACTTCTCTTTCTTTTAGCACCCTCCTCCCTATTAGAAATCTTTATAAGACTGAGATACAGTGAACAAAACAGCACATTATGACAGCAGAGATGTTCTCAGCTAAAGCACTACTAAAAACAGACAAGTAACTCTACACAGAGATGAACAGAAGCAGAAATAGTATGACGTGGTGCAAATAGCAATAACCTGAGAGTTGAGAAAACTAGGTTGTACTCAGTATTATTACATAATTGATTACGGAAACTTGGGCATCACTTTGCCCTTTTAACTATGTGTCCTATAGATAACATCAGAGGAAATGGACTAGATTACTTCAAAGCTTTAAAACTTTGTATGTTAACACTAGATATATGGGAGAATCATTTCTCCTTCTATTCTAGGCCAGTACTTTCATCTATATTCTAAATTCCACCTTCGTTGGGAGTTTGGTTCCTCTCTCTTTTCACTCTTCAACTTCACCTTCCTTATTGTTTCTATCAAAGCTACAAAAGCACTAAAGTTTTCTCCCATTCCCTCCAAGTCTCAACTGTAGAATTCCTTTAGTTCAGTGGTTCTCCAATTTCTTTATCTGAGAATTAGTTTAAACTGCAGAACACCAAGACTCATCCACAAAGAGTCTAATTCAGAGGGCCTGGGATGAAACATATGAAAATGTATTTCTAACAAGTATCCCAGGTAATGTAAATGCAGATGGCCCACAAACCATATTTTGAGAAGCTCTGTAAGTTTATTCTTTGAGGCTCTTTTCTTCTCATTTGTGCTTCTATATTAGCAATCTCTGTTACCTCACCTCCTATTTACTCAATTTACTTCAATCTGGCGTCCACCTCTCAAACTGCACTATTCACATGTTGATAATGGCCCTCAAATTTCTATCTCCTGCCCTAGTATTCTCTTAGCTCTGATCTCATATATCCAATTGCCTGCAAGACATGTCCAACAGATGTCTCTACTCACCTCACATTTACAGATTCAAAACCAGTATCAGACTGGAAAGAAAGAAGTAAAACAATCTCTATTTGCAAAAGATAGGATCTTGCATATTGAAAATCCTAAGTGAGGCAGAAAAAAAGACTTTTATAACTAATAAATGAGCTCAGCAAAGTTGCAGGATACAAGATTTTTAAAAAGTCAATTGTATTTCTATGCATTAGGAATAAACAATTCAGAAGTGAAATTAAGGAAGTAATTGCATTTACAATAGCAAAAAAAAGAATAAAATGAAAAGAGGAATAAAACTTACATACTGAAAACTACAAAACATAGTTGAAAGAAATTAAAGAAGACCTAAATAAATGGAGACATCCAGTCTTCATGGGTTGGAAGACTTAATATTGTTAAGATGGCAAAACTCCCCAAACTGATTTACAGATTCAATGTGATCCCTAGCGAAATTCCAGCTACCTTCATGGTAGAAATTGACAAAATGATCCTAAAATTCATATAAAAATGCAATGGACTCAGAAAAGCCAAAAAAAACCCTTGAAAAAGAGCAAAGCTGGAGGACTCACATTTCCCATGTCAAAACTTGCTAAACAGTAAGGACTTGGCATATAAAGTACAGTACTGATATAAGGATGGACAGAGAGCAATGGAATAGAATTGAGAGTTCACAAATAAAGCCCCATATTTATGGACAACTGATTTTTGACAAGGGTACCAAGATAACTCAATGGAGAAAGAATAGTCTTGTCAACAAACGGTGCTGGGACAACCCAATATCCGCATGCAAAAGAATGAAGCTGGATCCCTAACCTCACACCATATACAAAAATTAATTCAAAATGGATCATAGACCTAAATGTAAGAAATAAAACTCTTAGAAGAAAACATAGCAATAAATCTTGTGACCTTAGATGAGGCAATGGTTTCTTAGATATTGACAGAAAAAGCACAAGTAACAAAAAAGAAAATACATATAAATTGGATTTCATCAAAAATAAAAAACTGTTGTCCTTCAACAGATACCATCATGTAAGTGAAAAGATGACTCATGAAATAGGAGAGAATATTTTCAAATCATATATCTAACAAAAGTCTTGTATCTAGAATAAATAAAGAACTGTTACAATTCAGCAAGTAAACACGAATAACCCAATTAAAACACAGGCAAAGGATTTAAATAGATATTTCTCCAAAGAAGATAAACAAAAGGCCAACAAGCACATGAAAAGATGCTCAACTTCATTAGTTACTACATAAATGCAAATCAAAACCACAACGAGAAACCAGTTTGCACCCACTAGGATGAATACAATAAAAAAAGACAAACAATAACAAATGTTGGCAAGGATGTACAGAAACTGGAACCCTCTTACATTGCTGGTGGCATTATAAAATGGTACAGCCATTTTAGAAAGTCTGGCAGTTCCTCAAAAGGTTAAACACAGAGTCACCATATGATGCAGCAACTCCACTCCTTCATCTATATGCAAGAGAACTGAAAACATACGTCCACACAAAAACTTGTACATGACTATTCATAGTAGCATTATTCTTAACAGCCAAAAAAGTAGAAACAACCTAAATGTCCATCAACTGATCGATGCAAAACAAAATGTATATCCACACAATGGAATATTATTCAGCCATAAAAAGTAGTACTGATACATGCTACAACATGGATGAACCTTGAAAACATTATGCTAAGTCAAAAGTCCAGCCACAAAAAACAAGTATGTATGATCCATTTAGACGGATTGTCAGAACAGGTAAATCTATAAAAAGAGAAAGTATGGGGCCAGCCCCGGGGCCAAGTGGTTAAGTTCGCACGCTCTGCTTTGGTGGCCCAGGGTTTCACCAGTTCAAATCCTGGGTGCGGACACAGCACTGCTCATCAAGCCACGCTGAGACGGCATCCCACATGCCACAACTAGAAGGACCCACAACTAAAAATACACAACTATGTACCAGGGGGCTTTGGGGAGAAGAAGGAAAAATAAAAAATGACAGGGGCCAGCCTGGTAGCGCAGTGGTTAAGTTTGCATGTTCCGCTTCAGGGGCCCAGGGTTCGCTGCTTCAGATCCCAGGTGCCGACATGGCACTGCTTGGCAAGCCATGCTGTGGCAGGTGTCCCACATATAAAGTAGAGGAAGATGGGCATGGATGTTAGCTCAGGGCCAGTCTTCCTCAGCAAAAAGAGGAGGATTGGCAGCAGATGTTAGCTCAGGGCTAATTGTCCTCCAAAAAAAAAAAAAGACAGAAAAAACAGAAAGTAGATTCGAGGTTGCCAGGTGTTGTGGGAGTGGGGAATGGGGAATGACTGCTAACAGATATAGGATCTCATTTTATGGTGATGAAAACCTTCTAAAACTAGATAGTGATGATGCTTGCACAACTCTCTGAATATACTAAAAAGCACTGAATTGGATACTTCTAGAGGGTGAATTTTATGGTATGTGAGTTGTATCTCAATAAAGTTGTTATTTTTTTGTTTTAATCTCACTATTCTCTCCAAACCTGCCATTGCATTTATATTCCCCATCCTGGTTAACCTCATTACCTATTACAAAGTTGGTTAAATTATGTAAAAATGGGACTTCATTAAAGTTTATCATACTTAGTTGTCTAACAGTCTCTTTGAAAGTTTACACGAAACAGATATTAAATCAATTGATGTATAATTTTTTTAGTCTCTTTTTGCTTGGCCAAATTTCTTTATAGTTTATTACACAGAAAACTCCTAAATCTATCTACTACCACTCTCAAAAGGGAATATTCAATTTTGTTTGGGGTAAGTTATGTGTCTATGAAATAACATGCTGTTTTATCATTAATTTTAGAGGGTTTGCTAGACACAGAGTGCCTCAAGTCTCTGATATTCTGAAAGTGATAAAAAACAGAACTGGGATGTTCTAATAAGTATTTGGAATGTCTAATAGTTCTAATTAAAAAGTAGTTTTACAATCTCAAAATCCAAGATTCTAAGTGGAAAATTAGGGATAATTTTAATTTCCTTAAATGTTTATACTTTCAAATGTTCTATAAAGAAAATGGATTGCTTTTATAATTAAAAAAAAAGTTTCTAGAGCCAGCTCTAATGGTCTAGTGGTTAAAGTTCAGCACTCTCACCACTTCAGCA